GAGCGGCAGGCACTTGGCGAGCGCCTGGGAAAAAGGAGGGCTCGACTACACTTGGGACTGTTTTGGAGTGGTTCGCGCTTGAACTGATCCGCTTGGATGTCAACATAGGCGGTCTTCCCAAACTGCCAGCATTCGTTTCCCTGTAAGCCACGCCCAGACCCTCACAAAAAGACACCCGTTTGCCCAGTTTGAGTGCGTCAGGCAAGGTGACTCTGCAATGATTCACACGTATTGAGCAAAATCTGGGTGGGAATTGAAATAGCTCGGAACCTACCAATATCCTTTCCGCCAAGAAGCATCCCTAGGGTTCAACCCCCATTAAAAGAATGGTTGACCCAATTTGGATGAGGAAACTCCTTAGGTGAATAATGGTGATTATATGAACCCCCTTTGTTTTAACGGTGGTAGCTGAACCAGGGGGCATGGTTCTGCATAATTTGTGGCGAGCTCACTTGGGACTGGGGGTAAAACGAGCGAAAACCATGGTAAAGATCCCTTGCTCGGGGATCCGATTCTTATTTCAAGTTTTGGACATATGGTAAGATTTGCAGATGGTTGAGTGACCGCATTCAATTCAGACAGGGCTTTGTGCACGCCAGGTCAGGTCACCCAGCATGTGATAGAGCAAACCAGCTCCGTCTCTGCAAGCCATGCGGCTGTTAGCAAGAACAGGCTTGCTCCAACAGGGCAACGCCCCTCTTTTGGGCAGAACTCAGGCAGGGGTCCTTTGCTTTCCCTTGAAGGGGCCAACAAATTCAGGTAATTGTCAAACCAGGAAACTTGAAGCCCGAAATTGATACCCCGCTTGTTCCTTTTGATCGGCAAAACAGGATATCTCCAAACAACACTCAGCAACCCGAGCTGTTTGGTTTCATGACAGGTCAGACCTTGGAGGTGTCTTTAAAAGTCGGCCAACAAATCTTCGAGTGGCCACCGAGGTTCTGGGTAGCCCGAAATGCGAAATGAAGCCCCGCATCTGAAATCAGAGAAGCGGCCATGAGGATGGCCACAAACTTCCTGTCTCTCCCGTGGATCTGGCTCTGAGTCAGCATTTGATGAAGCCATGATCATGAAACCTGCATTGCCCCTGTGCACCCCCCTGCGAATGTCATTCTACCGCCACTTTTGGTTCTTCAATTGGGGCGCGCTAGTTGTTCATGGAGCCACAACCGTAGGCTAAACGGGAATCTCAAAAAAACGGCGGCGATCAGCATGGCCGGCATCTCTTGGAGGCTCCCCCAAAACTGGGTACCCGCACCCCAGGGGTTTGGTGACCCCTGGAGCTCAATGTCTCCCGTGGTTGGAAAAAGATGTGTGATCAGGGGACCCCGCCCAACCCACCAGCCAAGCACCAACCCAACCAACCAAAAAGCCAACCCAACTAGACTTACCACCCCCCACCCCTCCCCCAACACCCTCTCCCCCCCCCTTTAGGTACAAGGCACACCGAAATAGCGCCTTTCCGTTCGGAAGTCGGGTCCCGCCTCCTCCTATGCGAGTGGCGTCCGGGCACGGCTCACTCAGTGGTGCAGAAACTGGGCGCTGCGCCCTGGCGCAGAAGGACAGACAGTTGGGGGGAGTTTTTCCAAGATGGACCCAAGACATTGAGCAGACTTGGACCCTTTGTGACTTTTTGGAAACCATGTTTGGGTTCCCAACAACATTTTACCTTTCAACTGGCGAGGGAGCTACAGTTGATTCTCTCACAAGTGAGTGAGTCTCAAGCTGAAATCACACCCCCTTTTGGTTGGTAAAGGGCAAAAGCAACAAGCCATTCTAGGGGATTTGAGAAGCACCCAAGTGCGTACAGGTGTTGCTATTTCAAGCCTTAACGGAGATAGGAGTGGTTTCAGAAGCACGAACCAAAACTCAAAAAGCTCTCAAACAACTCGGCCAAAACACTCAACTGAAAAGACAAACTCAAAACAACCGCCAACAAATCCACAGAATCAGGACAAGGGACGACTCACGCCTCACAAAAACCAGAATCAGCCTTCAACTCAGACGAAACTCAGAAAATCTCAGCCTGGAACTCTTTTTCTGGAGTTGAGTTTGAGGCTGAGTCTGGAGCAGAGTTTTGTTTGTTTGCTTTGAGCCTTTTTGAGTTTGGTTCTTCGAGTTGTGCGGCGGCTCAAACACCTCAAACCAACTCAGAAGAAGAAAACTGCAAACAACTCAGCCCACAGACAAACTCGAAGGAAGCAGGGCGGGACTGTCAATTTGAGTCTTGTCGGAGAATTGGGTGTTTTCTCGGGGAAAACTGCAGATTTCCTCCCCGACCAGCCCCCTGCCGGACAAATACATTAAACAAAAGAAACAACAACTCGGCAAAAGGCAACTAAGCAAACACAGCTCCAGTCTCAATGGTGCATTGGACATGCGGGGCCTGGCTCGAAGTTTCCCAAAACCGTGGCTCATTTCAAGCCTTCAATTCAGGCAGCCTGGATGATGTGAACCTTCTTATTGGTTGCATCCAGCACACCTTTCATTTTCTGTGCCTGCAGCATTTTTGGTGTTTTTCTCACGATAGCAAAGGACCAAGCTCTCATTTGGCGGAGCTGCAAATTGCCTTGGCTGGTTTCTCAGGTGTAGGTGCCCTCTTTCCAATTGCAGTGGACGATCGGGGCTTCCACAAAAGGAACGTAGGCTTCCGACATCCTCCTATCAGCTTTCATGGTTGAGGGAGGATACTCGCTGGAAAATGACAGATACAGATCTCTGCAACTGCTTTGCCTCTTTGATAGGAAGCAAGATGTATCGGGCAAACCCCATAATTTCAAACACCACTTCATAGACATTTATGCTGATTGCCTTCACACCGATAGGCTTCCCCAGTTGGACAATTGGATTGACAATCGACCTGCGAGATGCAAACAATTTTTAGTTGGATGCGCGTGTGCTCGCAGCACCTTAGCAAGTGACGAAATAAGTGGTACAGTAGTCCATTCTTAGCTTGGGGAGGACACGGGGGGCCCAAAACACGCGTTGACTTGGGTTAGGTCTTGAAAAACAGATGTCAGGATTCCCACGTGCCAAGAGCCAACCGACCTGATCGTTCAGGTTTCCCGTCTTGGCAACCAATGGACCATTGGCGAACATGTCCAGGTTCCGAAAGCATTCCAGGTCCATTGGTAAGGGGGAACCTTTGCTTCCATCGGCCAACCTGTCTTGGTTGACCTCCATTTGATTGGTTTAGGGCCCCAAGGGCGGGCAATGGCCCGAAAAGTGCACCCCCCCTGGGTTTCTCCAACGAGTTTTGGACAACCCGCCGGAAAAGCGACATCCATGGTCCAAATTTTGGACTTCGGAGGACCTCACACCCGGCGAGGCGCATGGGAGTTCGGCTTTTCTGGTTTCCCCAAAGAACCAACCTTTTTCAAGGGCAAAAGTCAACAAACATAAAGTAAGCTAAGCACGAACAAATATTGGGGGGGGGGTATCCAAGACCCTTCTTTGAGTGAGTCCATAGCTTATTTAGAGACCCCATGTGAGCAACCGGATGCCTTTGAAAGCGTAAAGGAAAAGATGGAGCGTCTATGTCTCTCCCAAATGGACCAACGACGTTCTTGATATTTTTGACAACGGAACCTCACGTCTCATTGTTTCCAGTCTAAGCTGCTGGTGGAAAGACAAATCGGCTTATTTTCACCAGCCACCTAGAACCAACTTCCTCATTCCTTGCAGGAATCATTCTTTCGAGAAAGCCACCAACAGCCGAGGGGGAAACGGCTGGTTTCTGAAAGGAACAGCTGGTTGAGCAGAAAGAAAAGCTAGACTCGCCTGCCCAAGCACCTGGAAACTTGACATGGACCAGGGAAGCTCAAGGCTTCAATTCGCCTTGGACAACTGCGGCACGCGAAAATTCCAACGACGTGTGGGTCATGGGTCCCTCAGCAACCCGGTTCCTGTGCTCTGACTTTGAGCTTAAGTCCTGGCTTTTTTGGGGGGAACCCCTATTTTGGCTGGTTTAAAGGGAAGCCTCAAGGAAGCCAGCCATTTTTTTGGGTTCCTCCATTTCAAGAAGCACTCAAATGAACCTGTTCTTTGACCATAGCACTGAGTAGATTGCTAAGATATACTTGAGAAACTAAACATCTTCCCCGGGTTTAGGGCCTTTTTAGGGGTTTTGAATGGATCTCAAGTGGGCTGTACATGTTCAACATCTGGCTAAGCAAGACTTGAGATGCATCCGGATGGTGGGGTCAGCTCGCTTTGGCAATTGATAGCTAGCGCTATGCGCCACGAAGCTCGTGCAAGACCCACACTGACGCCTGACGCAACGCCTGAAAAGCCAAGGGCAGCCCCGAAAACCTTCGCACCCGAATCCACTGCAGCAGAAGGACCAGGACCAAGGTCCGAACCTGCTTCGGCCAACCCGGCACCCGGAACAGAGGCGGAGCCGCCAGAACGTGACCCTCGATGGAGAACTGCGCGCAGATCACAAGCAGGGTGTAAACTTGGCTCCCAGCCCCCTGTAGCTTTTAGCTTGTCAGGGTTGACTGGTTTCCATTTAACCTGAAAGTGAAGCTTTGAGCTGGGGATCAAGCGGACAGCCCAGAAGAGCTCCATGGGGCATTTTGTGTGCAGAAGGCATATTTATACGTGCCACTTGCTGGCATGCCAGTAGGTCCGCACGTTGTTCCCGCTGTCTTTGCAACTGCACTAATCAGGGCCGCACTTGCCACAGCCCGAGCGTGCAAGCAGCAATCGTGCCTGGCGTAACCACCTTGACTTCGTAACCCCCACAGCCTGATACTCACCCTTTGCCTTCCTAGAGCTCACGAAATGTGATCACCTGTCGGCACGTGAGTCTTGGTTTGCGCGAGGTTTTGCGCCGTTCTCCTGCCTTGGCGGCTCTTCTGCACGTGCGGAGACCCGGGCGCTGGTGTTACTCCGTGTCTTTTAAGGGGCACTTTTGTTTGGGAGGCGGAATTCTATCAAACCATCTCCAAACAATTATCTAGGACATTCTCGCCAAATGTTGCCAGACACCAGCGGGTTTGGGTAATTTCTTGCTGGAGAATTTCCCTGGAGGATCCTTAGAGGAACGCGGAACCAGAAGGAAGCCACCCAGTCTGCGGCCTTTTCAACAAAATACTTGCTGAGCACCGCCAGGTGCTAGGCTTAGAGGTAGTATTGGGCGTTCAGTTGGACGCCGGCCTTCCACCCACATGGGTGTGTTTCCACTAACCAGGGTTCCAATTTGGTACCGTTTTTTGAGCCACAGCCACGTCCATGTTGGGCGGGAGGGTAGCCATGCTCGAGGACCTTCAAAGGGGCATCGCCATTTTGGGAGAGGAAGTGTTTCCCGCCAGACTACGTGTTTTTACTTTGTTTGTTAACAGGGCATCTCGTGTTTTGAAGGGAAACCAAAGGGGAACTGAAGCCCATGGTGAGGCTTCCCCATTTTGGTGTCCATTGGATGAAGCACGCCTGGGACTGCGAGGCTTGAGGCTCCAGCGATGCGTGACTTATTTTCGGACGGGGCCCCTATCAACAAATTGGTGGTACCAGGACTTGAAGTGTCTTTCTTGTTGTCTTCATATCTCTTTCTCTTTTGCGGTCGCTCTCTCTCCACCCTGTGAGACCACTTACAGCAAGCTGTAAAGGATACGCCATCGCATGTCATTAAATTCACGTTGGGACACTTTGGGTTTTCCAGGCCAGGTGTTTGGAGCTCCTTTAATTTGGGGGGTAAAAAGCGTTCTCCAGGTGGATTTGTAAAAATTGCAGACACGGCCCGGCCCAGACCGCCTCCCCCAGTTTCTGGGAAGCAGAACCCAAATGACCAGGAGCAGTGCCGCGGTCTGCGCTGCGACTTTTGCTTCTGCAAAGGCCTACACCTCGGGGGCTTGGGGCTGGAAATCATGTGCTCAAAGTAGGCCCCTCTTCTCCTCCCCTCAAAACCGTTGTCTTTCCTTTTGTTTTTTCCGTTGAAAGCACCCCACAAGTCATCAGATCCATTTGTTGCTTGGCCCCGCCTCTTTTCGGAACAACTTGGCAGCCACTGATACCGGTGCTCAGGATGGACCCTGTCAAGGCAAAGGCACATTTGGGGAAGCCCCAGAACACGAAGCGGTGTGAGCACGGTTGTTCTACCACAAGGAAAACACAGCCGTGACACAACGCATTGAACAGTTGAAGGTGCATATCTGCAGCTTGGTCCTGGTCCGGTCCCCACAAGTCTGCATGTCTTTCAGAGGTGATGCCCCCCCCATCTCGACGTTGATTCTTGACTGTTCTTTTCAAGGGATGACGAGCATGATTGTTGAGAGGGGACAGAGGACATTGCTGGCAGGTTGCAACCAACATCAAACCAAGCCTAGGACAGGGCTATTAGTTGACATGATGTTGCGATTCTTGATCGACGGCATGGTACAACGGCCGAATGATCATTGCCGAATGATCATTGCCAAGGTAGCGGACCTAATCGAAAAAGAACGAAGTCCCCGGAATTTGCACAGAACGGATCAAGGTTGTTTGGTCATGGACCTGCTCGGGGGTTCAACAACTCGGCCCCATCAAACTCGCGGGTGTTCTCTTTGTCTAATTTCCCTTCTGGAGATTCTTGGGGGCCGAGCCACACAATTTCAACAAAACAGGGAGCAAGTACCAGCCCAGGTTGTTTTTTCGTCCTTAGTGGTGACCAATGGGCATATGTTTTGATTGCTATGGGGTTGGATCTTTAGACAAACAAGCTTGTTGGGAAATCAATAGTTTTCCATTGAACCCACAAAAAGTGAATCTTTTGCAGAGGGGTCAACAGCAACTAATACGTTGACCATGGCTCTTTATATTGACACCCTGCGCGAGAATGTCTCTCAAGTCTGGTATTGTGAGATCAGATGCAGTGTGCAAGAAGAAAACAAGTGTGAACCACGCGCTGGCAACAGGATGGGATTTTGCCTTACCTCCATTTTGCCTTTGGGGTTCTGGTCCCAAAACCGGAAACAGGCGCTTGGCTCCCTCCTCCATCGGCATTTGAAGCAGACCTGGATTTTTGCGGAGCTATGCGCCATGGACACCTGGATGCAGCGCCAGTTGGAAGAGTTGGAGTGCTTGCAGGCCATCTATTGCGAGGACAAAATGGACCTCGAACTGAACATGTTCTGTGGCACCGTTTTCACACGAAGAGGTTGGCACGCCAAGGGAAAGGTCCCAACGGGTTTGACACCCTTCAGCCCACCAAGACCTTGTTAAGGAGCCTAAAGTTGCGGAGAGCCCACTTTTGGAGGGGGTGGACAGGGAAATCAAAGAAACTGTCAACTTTTGGGGTCCATTTCGATTGGCCACTTGAGGTTGTGTCTGTTTGGATCAGATCTTGGCGAACTGGTCTTTCTTCAAGCTCAAACCAGTCAAGGTCTTTTGTATTTAGAGAACCTGCAATCACGTAGGATTAATGCCATTCATGTAGCATCCGAAAAGATGCCGTGTCATGCCAAGTGATGGGACACAGTTGCAGATAAGACGATGGGCTTCATCTGCTTATCTTTCAATGAGATGCTGTTGTTGGCAATGCTGGTGATGCTGGCGATGCTGATGATGCTGGATAATGTAAAGCCTCTCTGCGAATGCATGGTCTTGGGTCCTAGGTTTCACTGGCAGTCATTACTTTCAGACAGACCTGCTTGGATTCTGATTGCAACTTGGCGCAGGAGGGGCAGTTCCGCTTGGACGGGGAGGCCCGTGATGCATTGAGCAAGGAGCGGACCTGGATCAGGGTGGCTTAGTGGGAACCTTGAGAGACTTTTTCCAGCGGCAAAAGAACGGCTGCATGGCGGTCACCTGAACGCAATGCAGCCGCATCCTGTAAGTCCCAAGAGCAAAGGTTCGGACCGGCTCGGACTCGCTCACAAGAGCAAAAGGCATACAGGCATGGGCCTTTTTTGCATCTGGCAAAGCCACTGGGTTGGAAGCGTTTAAAGGAATGTAGGGACCTCCAAACCCCTAAGCCACCCAGCGAGGCTCCAAGAATACCACACCCTAAAAGGGAAACAGCCTCTAACGGAACCTTTGAGGAACCTCTCAGAAACCCCAAGGAGCTCCTAACCCGCTCAGTAAAACCTCGGGAACCTCGCAAACCTGGGAAACAAATCCCAGGAACGCCAACTTTTGGCCAAGAGCCCACCGGGACGTCCCATGCAGGACGGCCCTCCAGTTTCGCTGGCCGTCCGGGTCTTCGACTCGGACATGGGCCGGGTGCGCCTGGCTGCAGTGCTGCCGAAAGGTGTGGAGACGAACGTTGGGCAAAGCCAGGGAGTGTTTGACACAGAGCCCTGAAACGGGTTGTTTAACGGGGGTATATATTTTACAAGAGGGCAGGCACTGGATTTATAGTTGCTTTTACACCCCTTCCATTTTCCTCTGGTAGGGTAGTGATCATCTTGCGTCCAAGGTGGTTTCCTCAAACGGAGATTCCTCTAAAAATCAGAAACTCCATCCAAAGGACGTTGCTCGAATAAATTTCTCCATACAAGAGATGAGGACAGATATGATATGTTTTCTGTCAGACTTTAAGAGTGAAGAAATAATATGAATTGTTCCAAGGGAAACCAGAAGACTTAGAAGCCAATCGGTTGAAAGAAAAAAGCAAAGTTCAAGCAGCGGTGGATTGGGTTAAATCAGAAGATGAAACTGGCGAACCGGGATGCGGGGGCGAATCGTGATACTCTCCGGGAACCTTAAAACCAGAATTGGTCTGATTGCAAGAGGATATGACGGTAATTGTTTAGCCCCTTGTATTTTTATCACTAAAGGGGTCATATCCCTGGTCTCAGACAAACACCCCTAGGAGCACCCCAAGATTCCCTGAAGACGGTTGCTAGCCATGCCTTTTCTGGCCGCTTTTTTGGCGTTTGTCAACACGTGTGATTTTGGAAAGCCTACCCAGAACTAGGTGTGGATGCCGCCCTTTGACTTCCAAAAATATGGTTTGGTTTGTGGCCGCCTCTTTTGCCAGCTTTCGATTGTGACCCAGCCGATTCATGTTGCTCAGAGTACCCTCACACCCACAAACTTTGGTTTGGGGCACAGCACCTTTTGGACAGCTTGGTTTGCTCAGATCTGTTTGTGGCCCAAGCCCACATTTGTTGGCAGAATGCATATTTCGTAGATTGCCTGGCCTTGCCATTTACTTGGAATGGGCATGGATGTGCTTTCGAGGGTGTTCCTTTTGGTTGGTGTGAAAAGGGCAGCTAACGCCTTTACCTGCAAGGAATTTGCGACCAACGTGTAAATGGTGGTAGGGATTGGTGGGGATCTGAAGCCCTGATTGCCTAGCACCCTACCATCGAATCACTAACCCATATGAGTCGAGCAACGGACAAAATTGCCAGGGTTTCGGGTGGACCCTTCAGTTTTGCAGGTTGATGGGTATCGGCGTCGGTTTTGGGTAGGCACCCATCGGTTTTTGGTGGCAATGTAGTCGGGTATTTATGTGAGCAACAGTCAGTATTTGCTGTCATCCACGGAAAAGGGGACTGGGGCACACTCACCAAATTGAATTCCGATGCCTCGTGGCTCATATGAGTGGTCAGTAGTTATGGGTATTTATGGAACAGATGATGCAGAACCACCCCAGTGACCATTCGGAACTGTGGTTTGCTCGCTAAAATATGCGGTCACAGAGTTGCTCTGAACCTCCAACCAACCAACCCGCTTTCGGTAGCACATGGTCTTCCCGTTCCAAGCCCATTTCTTTCGCTTTTGATCGGGCGGGTCACGGAAAACCACTAGGCTGCAATGCCATACCCATTTGGGTGCGTCCCGTTTTCTTTTAAAAGTTTTGCCGGGAATCCAAAGGGGGAAATGGGGAACGGATGTTCAGGGTTGCGCTGCATTTACCCAGTTGATTTCTGCAGGCTACCCAGGCGAAGGCTTTGCGCCGGTGGTGTGGCTGGAGCCAGAGGCGTCGGGCCCGTCCAAGGCCGGACGCCTGCTTCAAAGGGAAGCCCAAGCCTAAGATGGTGACCCCCAAACCCCCACCATGTATTGAAACATGTGTACATGAGCTTTATAAAGTGGCTATCCATCCCAGACCCAGGGACACCTCAAGAACAAGAGTTCTGGGGTTGGGACCTTGCTTTTTCCGAATGCCTTGTGGATGCCACAATATTTTTTGTCCGACTTAGACGGTAAATTCCCAGCCCATGCTGGAGGTTCTGCATGTGGCGGAGGACGAGGATCTGTGCGGCAGGCTGCAAGAGGTCGCGCAGGCTGCGAATGGCGAGGAGCCGCTCGGTACCTCTCAGACCTCCAGTGCCCTCTTTGGACCGTTCTCACCAGGCCATTCCTCCCGGGATTGAGAATCCCAGACCTCCTGCATGTCTTGGCCCATCAATTTACTCCCCTCAATTGGCTGGAGAATTGCTGGGAAGGTCAGTTTCAGCCGGCACAGTGGCTTTCAAAAACCCAGCGCGTCTGAACTGGGGTAATGTTGGAGGGTGCATGTAGAAGCAAACCCAACATGGCTATGTGTCAACACGGACCCCCCCCCCCCCAAATTGCGGGTTTCCTTTTTGCGCCCTTCAAACAAGCCTGCAAAGGGTCGACCAAAGTGACCACAGAACGGGTCCAAATGAAACCACCAGTATATGGACCGCAGGATAATTCGTCCTGGGGTCCACATTTACCAAGGGTACCTATCTTTGGTGCATTTTGCTTGGATGTTAGGACTTTGACTTTTTGCCAACTAATGGGCTTTCCATTAAACCACTAAAAGTTGAACTTTTCGCAGGGGAGCAGAAAGTAACCAAGCTATTTGTTGCCCACCACGGCACATGATACGACTCATCGAGGAGTGCTTGCTGCAGTTGATCCAAGAGGCCGAGCAGCTGATCCGGACCTGGGTGGAGGACGTGGCGGTGGCGGAAGCCGCCGAAGCTGCGGAAGATGGGGAAGATGCGGAGGATCCAGGTTGGCACGGGGTCATTTGAGCCGCAAAAACTGAAGATGCAGGCGAGTTGGGTGAGGTTTTTGAATTCCCCCGACCATTAAAAGAACGGCGTGGCTGCAGTTTGATTCCGACTCGTTTGGACGGGCAATGTTACCGGGGTAGTGGAGAGTAGTGGCTGGGAACTTAGTGTTTAGGGTAGACTGTAGACTCAACAAACATTGAAACCCACATTGCCGAAGGGGCCACTCACAAGAAACCCTGATCCCCTGTTCGTTTGAAAGGACATTCCGAGCGGAATTCCCGTTGCAATTTGCAGGGTTCACGCTCTTGAGAAATGGTCGGTCGACAACCATGGTTTAGCTTTGGTTTTGTGGTATTGTCCTTGCGTTGCCCGACTTGTACCAAGCGATTGTTAGTGTGAACACGGGAAAAATAAACGGCTGGGCCCCTTTGTGAGCCCATGGCCATTTTGCGCCCCTTTGGGGCATCTTGTTCTGGCTGAAACGCCATGCGCTTGCCGCATCGCCTTAGTTTGTTTGTGACCCTCGCCTGGTGATGAAATCTTGCGCGACATGGGGCTCGGAACACCGCGCTTTATACGTTTGTGTGTATATCGTGTTGAACCGGACGCGGGTTTCCTTGCACATTGCCTGAACTTGACGTTGAATCGGAACCAAACTCACCCCCGGCACAGCTTAATGCAAATGCGAATGGTGAAGGGAGAGCTTTCCATCGTGGTTTGCAGTTTTCGAGGCCGCGATGTTTCTTCTCAGAGCAACTGTATTGGAATGAATGTTGGTTTGACTCCACTGGTGTTTCTGACCCTAGCCTCATGAACACAGTGCACTTCCTGTAGGCGCATGGACAAGCCGGCGATGCTTTGTTTCCAAACAGGACCCCCCAAAATCTTTGATCATTCCTTGATCTTCCAGGACCCTGAAAAGCCTTTGGCCGAATTCCAAGGATTTCTTCGGTTCCCGCAAAACACGCCAAAGACCCCGACGAAGAGCCGCTCCACCGAGTGACTCGCCCCAAAGGCGTGCTGGATCTCGATCTCCATGCCGTCCAGCGGAAGTGTGAGGGTGGTCGCCTGGGCCGCCGCGCGATGTTTTTTGGATGCGCATTTTTGAATTGCCCCCAGAGGAAAGGTCAAACACGATTTTGCCGAAGTTTTTTGTTTTTTTGTTTGTTTAACTCCTGTGGAGTTTGCAAGGGAATCCAGGGCTATCGGACACATTTTTCTAGGGGACTTGGGGCAAATGGAGGTGTCCATCCCATGTTTTAGCTGGATGCTACACGCCCGTGGTTTTAGATTCCCCAGGAAGGCAAAAGAGGATCAATTCTGTTTTGTCCCATTGAGACCCAAAGTGCTTGCCCAGGTTCTCCCACCACATCATTGCGCCGTCCAAGCGGCAGGCGATCAAGCAGTGGGCCATGCAGCTGGACCTAGGACGGGGTTGCTACCAAGGGTTGACCAAACCCTAAGGCTATGACACACAGATGCGGGATGGACAGGCAAAAGATGGAAGCACTTGGTTGTGGATCCTTTCATGTTCTTCTTTTAGGGGCCAAGTTTCTACCCTTCCGATGGGGTCTTCGGAGCAAGAGGACTTTACCGGGCGGGATGCTTGGATTTATAAATTCACGGTCGGGACAAATAAGGGACTGCTGTCGAATCATTCCTAGGTGGCAAGGCTGTCTCCTTTTTTCCAACATTCCGGGCTACTGCGAGGCTTTCAATTCCTGTAGGAGGTCTTGCCAAAGTAGGCTGGCCCGGAGTCATCATTGTCGAGGGTGATGAGCGGAATGTCGCTGCATATGTGGACGCGTTGAGCAGACTGCGCTGGAAGCATTTCGTGGTGCGGGGTGAGCAGATGATTGATGCGGCCCCTGGTGTGTGTCTGGACTCCTTGCGTGTCTTGCCCACGCCGCTGAGAGAGTACCCGCCAGATGCCATGTCCGAATTTTCCGCTCACTGCCGAAATCTGGGTGTGGAGGAGCTGTTTTTGGCAGCCTTGAAGATTGGTGGGGGTGAATCTGGGAGCACGCGTGGGGCCAAGAAGGGCAAGAAACGCTGAGCTGGGTCACCCTCTATGGGGGCATTGGCACCACAAGTTGGCAAAATGTGGGGTTCACCAACCAGACCCTGCGCTTAGTTCAAACAGGCGCCCTGCTCGTCGAGCGCAAGAGCCAGCTCAAGAGCGTGCGGAGATCGCACTGTTGACCCGACTTGAGAGGGATGTGCGATGAGCAGCCATGATGGACAGGCTGTGATGCAGGAAAAGCTGTCATTTTCTGTCCAATGCGATCGGACCACAGCTTGAATGGCGCTCTCCAAAGACTTGCAGCGCCTGTTGCGCTTTCTCTTTCATGCGCCAGAGTGTCTGCACGCCAAAACAAACAAGAGAAGGGCGGTGATCTGTCGACAAGTTCAGGAGCCACGTTCCACCAATTCAGCGCGAACGCCCTCACATCACGGGGTCCATTTTTTGATTGACCACTGGTGGACTCAAACCCGGTTGTCCCCCCTGCTTTTCCCTTTTGGAGTTATAGTCTACCTTGATGTGACCAGAAAGTGGAATTCCGAGACTCTTTTGCGAAGTGAACATTTTGAGGCCTTCTCAAAATTGCCTTGGTGTCCCTTTACACCACCACAAGAGCAACTTTCAGGATGTTTTAGGGTTTTCTCTTGCAGCTTCTTTTTCTTGGTTTGCCTTGCGACCAACAATTAGAAGTGCAAACATGTTGGTTTTATTGAAGCCACGTGCAGGGTCACTTTGGGGATCTCTTTAGAACCACCACTTTGAGGATGCCTTAAATGTTTGCGTGTGTGTGTGTGTGTGTGTGCGCGTGTGCGTGCGCGTGTGCGTGTGCGTGTGCGTGTGCGTGTGCGTGTGCGTGTGCGTGTGCGTGTGCGTGTGCGTGTGCGTGTGCGTGTGCGTGTGCGTGTGCGTGTGCGTGTGCGTGTGCGTGTGCGTGTGCGTGTGCGTGTGCGTGTGCGTGTGCGTGTGCGTGTGCGTGTGCGTGTGCGTGTGCGTGTGCGTGTGCGTGTGCGTGTGCGTGTGCGTGTGTGTGTGTGTGTGTGTGTGTGTGTGTGTGTGTGTGTGTGTGTGTGTGTGTGTGTGTGTGTGTGTGTGTGTGTGTGTGTGTGTGTGTGTGTGTGTGTGTGTATGTTGTTGTCATGTTTGTACCCCTTTTTGTGGTTTTAAAGGGAAACAAACCCACTAGCCAGGGGAAGCCGTGTGACAATACAGGGGTACCTACCATAGTGGCAACTGGAAGAACTGGGAAAGGGAACCACCAGTAGCCAGGGAAACCATGTAACAATACCTTGTTACCCCGAAAAAAAGTGGCAACTGGAAGTCCACCATTTTGGTGTCCCCTAAGAAAGACACACCTTTACTTATGGAGTCCCTAAACGGGTGGGTGGGTGAAGGGGGGGGGGTCTTCCCTAAGGCTCTCGAAGGAACTTTAGGGAACCCTGAGGAACCTTAAGGCTCTACAACTACCTACCCGTTACGGAATCCATAATTTACGGAACGCGCACTCAAGGCAGCGCCTTGCAGCGGTGCAGTCGCTGCAAGGCCAACGTTTCGGTCTTTTTCCGCACGTGGGAAACGTCGCTGAGAGGGCTCCCTAGATCTCCGCTCTCGATTTTAAGCATCACTTTTGGTTGACAACTTGCGAGTTTCCTTTTCGTGGGGTGATGTTGAAGTGGGCAATATAGGGAACCCTGTGGATGCTTCAAATTCACAAAAAGCACCAGTGATTTGTTTATTGTTGGGGCGCCCCTGCCGCGCCTTGCGCTGGTCAGCGAATTTCGGCTTTAGCAGGTGTCTCTGACATGTAGAAGTGCGACATGCCAGTGCCAGCAGCCTATGCGCCAGCGTGGGCCCTCATCTACCGGCTGGCCTTCGTCATGCTTCTTCGGCTTGTGTGACTGAGTGCTTGTGCGTATTGTGGCTGCGCGCTGCACGCCGTTTCCTGTCAGCACTTTCTGGGAGCGGGGAGGGGAGGGGGGGATGATTTACATTGCTTCCTGAGCACGGGAGGACTCACTGAGACGCCGAGGGCCTCTTCCGTTTGGGGCGATGTTTGCGTCAGTTGGAAAGGCCTGGATTACAGAGGTGGCTTTTCTGGCAGCGGGCTTGCAGGCTGCCTTGTTGGTGGGAGCAGCGCGACTGTCTCAGCCTGATGCAAGTTCATCAGCTTCTGCGCAGACACGCTGCAACCTTGTTGGGCAAACCTGTCTCCGCCTACAGGCTTGCGAAGCTGTCCAGCGCGAGTCGATCTTGGGGAAGAGATGCGGGTGTTTGGAGTTTGACCGCACCTCCGTCCGCAAGATCTGGGTGGGGCCCAAAACGCAAAAGCGCAAGAACTTGGCGACGCAGTGGCAGAGAAGTTGTCTGGGAGCCGCGCTGCCAGCGCACTGTCTGCTGCTTTCGGATAGTCGGAGCATGCAAGAGAGGCTCAGGCCAGCTCGCGGTTCGCCTTCTTCCGCTTCGCCTGGTGCCCAACACTGGCAAGCCGCCAGTTGAATCAACGTGAGAAGTGATCAAGTCCAAGGTTCTGGCCGCTCGCCAGACAAACTCGCAGATCCAACCGGAACGCAAGCCCTGCGGCGGCTGTGGGATAGACTCAAAGCGGCCTTGCCTTCGTGAGATCAAAAAATCGATCCCAGGCTGGCTGAACACAGAAGACTTCATGAACATGTCCATGCATGGCTGTGGCGCAGGTTTTTTTTGGCTTTGGGGCCAGCCATGGGCGATTGGCAGTGAGCCAAACCGCCTGAATGCCATGTTCCCCAGCTGCGTGTAGTCGCTCACGTTCTCCACCTGCATCCATTTACCGTCCTTGGTCTTCATGAAGGTCATCCTTGCCTTCCAATCAAACGTACCTGACGGATCCAGCAGTTGCGTGGCCACTGGGTCGCTATATGCCGCCAGGCCATTTGGCAAAACATGCCATCCAGGACTTGAGAAGTTGAATCCTCAGCGCTGGCTTTTGCTGCGTGCTGCGGCCTTCTTCATCTGCATGTGAGTCTCAGCTTCATCTGGTCGGTGTCAGCTTACCAGCGCAGAAAGCTCCCAGCAGTACTCGGTCGGCTGGTAAGGGGATAGGCAGAGTTGAAGGCATCAAGACTCTGCAGCGCGCTGAAGAAAGTCCTGGATCAGTTTGTTGAAGGTGTCAGCCTGCGCGATCAGACTGTTAAATGCGGGCAACTTCTCAGCTGCCAAGGGGCCGATCAAGGAACATAATGAATATGGAACATGTGCGCCCAGTAAGGAAAGTTTCAAGAGGAACCAAGCTGCCAGAATGTGCGAAAACCTGAGGAAAACTCCTCAAACAAGCCATTCCGAGTGACGCGTCCCAACCCCTCCCCCCAAATCGAGCTCTTGTGGCGCTCTGCATGGTGTCTGCTGCTTTTGTCTTTGGCCTCTAGTCATCCTTCTCTCATTCGCCGTTTCCGCTGTCCACCCGTCCTAACTTGGCTGTCTGGGTTCAACTAACATGGGCGCAACCTTGTTTATCAACCAGTACTCAAATCGATTTTCATCCAGTTGGTGCTTTTTATGGATGTCAGATTTTGCACTTTGCTCGCAGGTATCGTTTTTTTGGCTCAACCTTTTCGGAAGGATCGCGCGAAGGCTTCTGGTGTCACGTGTCACTCACTGGTTTCGCCAACTGCACTCGGCCCCCGCATAGCCCCTTCACTGCTCTTGGCACGTATTTCCCAGCAGCTGCAAGTCTTGCAGTTTTTGCCCAGATAGGCCCGGACTGGTTCAGAGCGGCTCCGGGCTGGGGTTGCAGAAGGGGAGCAGATGGATTGCTAGACTAGAATATAGATCGTGGTAGCTATGTGTTGAACTCGACAGATGCATGACGGTCGATTGACATACTTCGATTGGGAAGCTTGGGCTTGCAGCATTCTGACATGCTTGTTGTGTCAACAAACACCGAAGGACATACATGCATTTATGACATGCTTGTTTACGACATGCTTGGCGGTCAGGTTGTTGTTTTGAATATCCCGGTTGGTGAGTTTTGACGTTCGGCACTCTTTGTAGGGTTGTTTCAAAGGTAATCCAAAAGGGAAACCGAAGTCCATAATGGCCCACATCCTATTTTGAGACAAACCCAGATTTGCAAGTTTGGTTTTCTGAGCATCGTTGTTCGGGCCAGTTGAACAAGAGTTTCTCAACAAAGCCCATGTTTAAGCAACTGGCCAGCTTTTGGTGGGAGGCTTCATTCTACTGCAGCCGCGGTTGCCAGGCTGGGTGAGGGTGAGAGCCGAGTTCAGTCGAACTGAAACTTGAATCCCGTGGGATCTCTTCTGACAATTGCTCTACATTTTACGGTTCACTAAGCATAGACAAGTATCAAAACTATGGTTTTTGGTTGGGGGGCCTTTTGCCAAAGCACTCATTCACTCATACAGAATCCGTGGTCTCTGGAGAAAACCCCCCGAACATGCCAATTTGCAGAGACTGCGTGTCAGGAGACGGACTGGAAGGCGCACCACAAGTCAGCACCTCGAGTAACCTCGAGTAAGGAAGACAGCTGGACCAGTGTTTTTGTCTCATGCGCGAGCCCCTTTGAACAAAAAGAGGTTGGCGTTCCTTGGGCCGATGCATGAACCCAAAGCATGAACGCAAAGCATGAACCCATTCTTCTTAGTTGGCTGGTGTCCATAGATATTTGACCCCTTTTCCATTGTTCACACCAGGGTTTCACGGTGCTCAAAGCAGGGAACCTCTTCAAAAACCTCGGTTTCTTTGGTTTCCCTTTAAACCAACCCACAAACGGTTTCTTCCTCAAACACAAACCCGTATGGCCAGGGCATTGTTTTGTTTGTGGGGCTTTTGCCATCGGTCTTCCGGGTTGGTAGGTTCCCCGATGAAACGAGATTACACGCCCTTGGCATTGGATATGATGTGAGTGTCAATCTTGTTTGGGAACTGTGTAATTGCGTTAAAGGGTGAACGTATGAGTATGAACCCATGTACGCACCCCTTATGCAAGCCTTTGGCTGGTTTGTTGGCGAATCAAACCGCAAACTATGGCTTACAAAAAAAGGTGGCTCTCAGCCATGGGTTTAGTGGTTGGGTTTCCATTTGACCCACGAGTTAAACTTTCAGCAGGGGATCCGAAAATGGACAGCCCAGTCGTGAAGCCAAAGACGCCGAAGGAGCGGCTCAATGACCCAAGGAGCTCGTGGGGTTCGGACCATCGAAGCGACTCGCTTGGGTTCTTTGGGCTGGAGCCAGAGGTGCCAAACGGTCCGTAAAGAATGCAGAATGGGCCCTTTGCTTGGGGAGGGCTTCTTCAACCTGGGTAGCGCATTTTGATTTGTTGGACCTTCTGGTGGACATCAACTGGGTGGGATTTTATGTCCCCCAACCACTTTCCATCAGGTTTCCTACTTGAATCATGCCCATGTGAACTCACAGTCCAGCAGGCATTTGTGACCAGTGGCAAAGACTCACGAGCATAACAACTTCCCACCTGTGTCCCTTCATGTTTGTCAGGGACTTTGAGCAGGTTCTGGTAAACGGGGATCAGCTTGCACCAAAGGACAATCATGTGTCTGTGGGCGGGACCCCCCACAATGGCGGTCTTGCTTTTGGTTTTCCATCCAGACCACCAAAAAAGGGGCATCAACACCAAAAAGACGCGCGTGTAGCATCCGATGTAGGAGCCATTTCTCAGAACGGGTCACCCAAGTTTTCCCAGGCTGGAATGCTCAGCGCGGCCTCTCCTGAAGAAGGCCTTCCCCATGGGCACGGCTGAGGTATTTGAATCCGGCAGCACCTTTGTGCAAGCTGTTATTGAAGGCCGTTTGGGTGTGTCTGGTCTTCTTGGGTACCCCTTTTTGTGGTTTAAGGGGAAACGGAAAAACCCCCAAAATCCATGTTTGGGGCTCCAACCTTGCAAAAGACCCACCCTTTTTATGCCAGGGTGCTCCAATGCCTCTTCCAATGACCACACCACCCACACGGGTAGAATATTGGTTGAAGGGTCCTGATATGTTTTCAACTTCCACCACAGTTTGAAGATAGATCTTACACGTTCCGGGGTTCAAACACACGAGGCCGGGAATGCCAGCGGTCTTCCATGGTCACAGCCGCGGTTGTTGGTTTTTGGTCATCTCAGGGGGTTGCACTCGTTTGTGAATACACCTTTGCTAGGGTTGGCTTCTGCTTGGAGCACAGTCAGAAGCAAAGCACTGTGCTAAACCCAGAAAGTGTATTAGCAAGCATCTTCGCACCCTCTGCTGCGGTTGCGGAAATCGGGGGGCATTATACTGACTCATGCGACTTGCCTTCTTAGACTGAAGCCAAGAGGCTGCTGTTGGCGCGTCATGTCGACATATTGTTTTGGCAGCCTCGTTTTGAAAATGCTTGCAAGCGAGCCAGCGTCTGATTGTCCAAGAGATGAGCCCTGGAGAAATTGGGTTTATAGGAAGGTATTGCCCTGCTCACGCCATCCAACAAGAGCCCCCCCCCCCCCCCATTTTGCCCGCTCAACAGGGCTCTTTGATACTTTTCTCTGTTTTGCAAGGGGCTGAAACATCACCTTGGAGAACCAGACGGGAGCAGCTTTGTTCTGATGCTGAAAGGGAGACATATAGGTGAACCTCCTTCCTTTCCTTTCCTTTCATTTTGTTTTTCTATTCAATGGTTTTCTTCTTTTCCTATGTCCTTTCCTTTTCATGTCCTTTTCCTTCTTCCTTCCTATCCCTTCCTTTGCTTCCAGATACCCTCCACGCCGAAAAGTCCAAGGGCTCCTGTCAATGAACCATCCCCGGTTTCCTTCGAGGGAATCCCGATCCTTCCGGTTCATTCCCAAAACCCCCGTGTCATTCCCTGAGCACCAGCAAGTTTTTGGTGTCTTACTCAATATCTCGGGAGGCTTCTCTTTTTTCCGGTTTGGGAGTGCACACCCCGCGCCGGCCGTTGTGGGTCCCGATCCATTTTGAGACATCCCAACGGTGTTCAGGGTCCACCTCAGTTTGCTTCGGCTTTGACTGTGAAACCTTAGGCCTGGGCAATCTCTCCAGGATCTTGAGGCAAACCTGCCTAGGTCCCCCAGCTAGGTGCCCTTTTACCTTTTTTTGGGAGGGTTCCCCTACTAAAAAAAACAAAATACTAGAGAAAAGCGGGTATCCTTATTTTAACCTCGCTGCTGGAGGACCTAGCTGATATTCGTGGCAGTTGGTTCATGTTAGCTTGCCCCATCGATGCCGCTGCCCGGCACTGACTGCCGGCCTATTGCGCTCAAGCTGAGTAAGCAATGCTCATGGCAGCGATAGTTTGCTTGAAGGGATGGCACCTTTGACAGTTTTATGTTGGTCCATGATTAGTCAAACTCCTTTCCAGACTAATCTTGCAATTCTAGGTCCTTTCGGCAACTAAGACGAAACAGACCCCCCACACAATCACACGTTCAGTGCAGCTGGACAGGGTGTCATGGGACACGTGCAGAGTTGGCCCTGGCTAGCGTGTCCTTTCTGCTGAATCATGCGAGATGATTCCTGATTGACCATTTCTTCCGCATATGCATACACATGCACATATGCTTGGAAGAACTGACATTTGAGTGTCTCAAGTTTTGGGAACCCACAAACTGATTTGTTTCCATGTTCTTTCCCTTTGCAACAGCATGAAATAGAGTACCCTCAACAAAGACGGCGCCCTTTTGCTTTTCTGGATTTGAGGGACATGTCTCCCTGCCTTTTGCCATGCTGTGAGCATGCTCTCCACGGATGCAGAGGCGGGTTTCTTCGAGTGTGATGGGACCGCACGGGTTGCTCGTCTTTTCTTTTCTTCTTTCTTTACGGGGTACCCTTTTCGGGGTGTTAAAGGACCCACACGCCGGCTTCCTTTTGGGGGTCCCCTTAAATGAGACCCTGGAGCTTCAGCTGGCCCCATTGGTTGGACCGGAAAGGCGAAATATGTCAACCACTACATAGGAAAGTTACCCATGGGCCATGTGGGATGACCGTTGCTTAAACCATTGGCAAGATTTGGTATTTCAACCACATGGGAAATGTTACCCATGATCATTTGGGGGGCGAACGAAGTATTGATCAACCCCCAAATGCGGAGTTGCACACTTGTCGTTGTGAAATGGAGAAGGTTCAGCTTGCCACGCAAAAATGCGACGGGCAGTGGGCTGACTGTTGACTCCATTGATCATTTGGCCACGTTCGGAAAGTCCGCAAATTGTCCTCAACTTACTGCGGGATATGGGCAGAAGGCCAAGTGATTGCATTCATAGTTGTGGCCCTCTTAGCTTTTAGGGATTGTGGATCTCAGGAAACCTTTATGCGCTTTGAACCCACAACGTGCAGATCTGTCATGTAACACTCGGCACATGCAAGTACGCACGCACGCACGCACGCTCGCACGCACGCTCGCACGCATGCACACACGCACACACGCACGAACACATACACGCACGCACGAAAACATGCATGCACCCTGCGCTGAGCACACCGCACTGCCTGTACCTTGCGGCGCATTGCATTGCATCTCGTTAAACAGGCAGCTCCCGACACCCCATCCGCTTCAGGGCCAGCTCGCCTTGCGCGCGGTGCTGCAGAAGAAGCCTGGGGAGGCCGTTCGACGGCACAGGGGAACCCTGGTTTGGACGGTTTTCCTTTTGAAGGGGCCGGGTGCCGAACGTCAGGCTCCATGTGAAAGGGGTGGGAGGGTATATGAGAGGGTAGAAAAGGACCGATATGGCGTACACAAGGGAGTGTATACGGGGCACGTAGCTATTTTGCTCAAAAGCGGACATGCATGTCTCTGATTAGTCTGAATAGGAACCCAAGCTACCCTTGGGATCATGGCCCGTAAGACGCCGTCTTGGTGGTGTTGTGGTGCTAAATGCTCCGTATGTGGTTTATTGTCCCAGAAAGAACAATCGGGGATTGTTCATCCTGAACAGACCCTTGTTCAACGCCTAGAGACATCCTGAGCATGTTCAGAGCTGCAACATCGTGGCTTCATCCAGTGCATCTGCCAATCACGCATTGCACAACGTCGTTCCTGACACATGATAGTGACCTCACAAAAGGGGCGTTCGCGGCCTCACCCATGATGCGAGTGTCTGACTTGGGGATTGCTTGTGTGAATTGATAGAGAATTTGCCTAGATCATTTGCAGGTCTGATGACTTTGGTGGCACTCGTTGGTTTCTTCGGATGAACGGATATGGGGGGTTGATCAATTCTCCATTTAGGATCCCAACATGACCATGAATCTTGTCCCATGTGGTGTACGTCGTATCTTGTTTGGTGGTTTCCATCCTATCAGCCATATGTAGCCCACCTTGAGGTAAAACGGGCTCGCCCATGGCGGTCCTGATAAGTTTAGGATTCTCTAGGCGTAGTTGGTGAAGTATTGTAGTTACGTAGTCCAATTGTACAGACCATCAATCTTTGTTCTTCTGCGTACATGTCTCGCAAAAAGGAGGCTGGCGTCAGAGGGGAGCAACCTCGGGCCCTGAGGCCTTCTCTTCTTCCTTTGGTTCTTGGTGGTTCCCAGCTAGTGAACCACTTCTCCAGTTGGTTGGCTCGCCGTTGGTTTTCCCTCCCAAAGATTTTCGGTGCCCTCCCACTAGAGGAATGGTAGAGGAAACCGATTCAAACACCAGTCAGGTTCCATGTTAGCCGAGAGGGCAAGTTACAAGCTTGTTGACCCGCACAAGGGTCCACTTAAGTATTCCCTGACCAAACTGGGTTCCTAAAACTGGGATTCGGAAATAGGGGATGGTAGGAGTAATGAACACCTTTGGTATCAGGATCAGGGTCCATGTTAGTTGGTGTTGGTTGCGGGTACCCACAGACACACGGTCGCTTTTACAAGGAAAACGGTTCGAATCTGACGACCCCCCTGTCGCCAGTGATGGTCGGGAGGACACGCACAGAGAAATCATTGCTACAAGGAAAACGGTCCAAATCAGGCCCCCCCCCCCCCCCGCTGAGGTTCCAAGTTATGAGAGGGCAGGGTAGCGTAGACCCAAGCTAGAACCAAGACTTGAACACTAAACCACCCTGAACTCTAAATCAACCCAAGCGGAAAGTCGTCTTTCTGCGGTCTGTGCGCGAAGCGATGTTCGCTGGGACATCGACATCGCGAGCGGTGCCCAGGAGCTTCACCTGGGCAGGGCCATCCGCCTGGCAGGAGGGGGCAAGCCGAGAGGTTTTTCAACCCGCAGTGCCGCAGGGGTCCTTTGTCGGTGAGTTTGTTTGAAAATGGATGGGTTCCACTGGTTTCCCTAGGACTAAATCATCATTTGCCGGTGCATTTTTTTCTCCCAAAGGGCACTTATGTTTGAACCCCGCGTTGATGCGCGGACTCTGGGTCTCTGGTCAAAGGGGTGCTCCGTTGGTCGAAAGGTTCTTGGGTAGCACATTTTTAGCTCTCCTTTCAAACCACGACAAAATCTGAATCTACCACATGGTTGTGGCATGCCCTTTTGAGCAGCCCGGCTTTCTGAACATGTTTCTTTCTTGTTGGCGGAGTTTGAGGCTGAGTCGGGTCCTTAAGCCAACAACCAAAGCGGAATTCACCAAGTTTGCCCCCGCTCCCCCTATAGTTTGCTTCATTGGTTGCTTCGCCAATCCTAGCGGATGGTGATGATTCTGTCTGGGCAAATGAAGGTGATCAGTCCCAAAGGATCTTCGCTGGTGACACCGCCCATGAAGGTTCCCTTTCACAAGGATGCTGCTCATTGGTCTCTCGCAACAGACTCTTCAGACTCGCATCGGCCAGCTCTAGGGGGATTTCCCTTATTCTCCCTTTGTGCATGTGCGCGGGTTGCTGTGGGCATTTTTGCGGTTGGTTTGGCTCAAGGGGAATCCAAAGGGGAGTTCTTACTTTGGGGCTCCGGAGCCCCCCTCTGGCTGATTACCTGAAAGAAGCCCATGTAGGCATGGTTCCAACCTGGATGATTTAGAGCAATATGTCATAATATGTCTAATAGCATAGTGCCCCCTGGCTCCTGCGTTCTCCTGTCTACTTCCATGAGGTGTGTTTGATTACGAGGGTATATAAGGTACCCTTGGGGCTTTTGGGATTTTGGAGGTACCTCTACAAAACGACACACCCACATTTCTCAGAACTGGTGCAATCGTTTGCCATTTGGTTTGGCTTGTCCCTTTCGCCCAGGATGGCCACCTATGTCGAATGCCAAAGTGCTGGCAAGGCGTCGCCGCTTTCGCAGCCTGGGGGTTGGCTGGGGCTTGGGGCTTGGAGCTGGACAAAAGAAGCTTTGCAACGGAATTGGACTTTATATGATGTGGGCATTTTAAGATTGAGCCCCTTGAGCCCCTTTGGGAGTTGAGGTTTGAAGAGTACAAGAAAGGATTTCTGGCCGTTCCGTGTTGTTTTTCGAGCTCGGGCCTCATGGTGAAGTCTCGATTGATTGGGATACCGTATTTCCGGGTGAGCTATAAAGATTCATGCAGATTCCTACTGCTTGACGCAGACTTGGGTGTCCTGTTTCAGGGCTCGGTAGGGAGAGGGAGAGGGAGAGCCGGACCGTAGGCGCGGGTCGTACTGCCCCAGATCCGTTTAGTTTACGACTTTTTGTGTCAGCCCCCTCCTAATCAGCGCATGGCCTCGGAATCCAGGTGCTATCTCTATCTCGAGTTGGCACACTTGAAGCTTCTGGTTTTTCAGCTTCTCTTTCTAACTGTCAGCCGAAAAGTTCAACATGTCTTTGCCAGTCGACTCAGAGGGTCAGTCAGTGTACCTGGTTAGGATCTGAACCTCCCAACTGATTCTTAGGCCAGGGCTCATGAGAAGGTTTCGGGGTGAGAGGGCGGGTTTATGGTTTTAACTTGACACCTCCTGGAGCCAACTTTGAATGTGCTCCCCTGAAACGAATCGAGGATCGCAGAGTATACTGCGAAGGTTTTCCTTTTGGATATGTTTGCAGAAACGTCAGGAGATGCATCGTCCACAGATGAGGGTTGTACTGCAGAGAATCCAAGTCCCAAATTGATGAGTCGGCTCATCCCTGCTCCAATATTGAAAACATTGTTTTGTATGATGCATTCCTTGTTTTTGCCTTGTTTTGTTCTGTGCGCTTGGTTTGCCAACTTGGTTTGCTTGCTGGAGCGGAAAAATGACGAATTCTAGGGCCAAGGATTCTATGGGGTGCCTACTTCAAGTTCAGCCGGGGGCATCCTGTTGAGGGGATCGTTTGGAAGGATGATCAAGGCACACGTCATTGGCAGTTCACCCAAGAAAGGGACAGGGGACTGGGGCCCTTCCCCACAAGCCTGGGTGCCAAGGGGTCCATACCGCCATTCTTCCTGAACACCTGGATCGATCAAGTTATGGCTCAGCATTTCTAGTTTTAATTAACATTGCTGCATTTGGTGCGCAAGCTTTTTGACATTTCTGTATTTGGTGCCCACGTTTTGTGCGGGTCAACATTTATGTATGTAATATTCCCATTTTTGCAAACCAGAAGTCTGGGTGTCTTGAGCGGTGACTTGGTGGAGGTGCCCCGCCGCGGTGCACTTGGAGCTGTTCCCCGAAACGCGGGAGCTGCTGGTCAAGGATAGGAGAGACCAGTCGGTCTCGGGGGTTGCGCGACTTCTTTTTGCTTGGCTCCCGGCCATCCGGCCCCTTAGCTTTTTAGGCTTTTAGAGTCAGCGGTTTTGTGGTTAGATTTCCGGACCCACAAGTTAAGCTTTTGGGAGGGGATCTCAGGGCCCAGTTGGGGTTGTGCTGGCAACTTCAAGCTTTGGCTTTCTCTTCCAAGAACAGGGGGTGCCCCTATAAAGAGAATAAAGAGAGACACGGGCATCATGACTTTTGTTAGTTTTTGGTTTCCCTTTCAGCCAAAAGGGGCTCGTCTTTAAAGAGACGCCTCTGTTGTCTCCAAAAGCAGCCAGTTGGTAGGGGCTTCGGGTAGCGAATTGGAATGTCTCAGGTCCCGTTTTGGCAGTGAAAGATGTGTGGTTGATCAGAAGGTCCGACTTTACACGGGACGACCATTGGTTGGAAGACCGTTAGAAAGGTGATATGTCTACCACTAAATAGGAAAGTTACCCATGGTCGCTTGGGGGCCAGGAATATTGATCAAGACAGCGTGTGTGAGTGTGTGTGTGTGTGTGTCTGTGTCTGTGTCTGTGTCTGTGTCTGTGTTTCTGTTTCCAGCGTGATCAGACACTGAACATGTTGGCTTTCAAGAGGTTGAAAGCTCCAGGCCCAAGCCGGTGCCCAAGTCAACATCTTGCCCTACGAGGAACATGGTACGTCTTGTCCAAACTGCTTTTGGTGAGGCGTGTTCGAACCAACGGTGCTTTTTTTTTGAAACAAAATAGCCTTGGCTCCAGCCTGGTGACCTCACAATCTCAGGCTGCTAGGGTGGCAGACGCTTCTCTGTGGACTTCTCGGTGGGTGACATTGGCAAGCTGTCAAAACAATGCCATTTGTAATTTTACGCTTGGAGTCCTCAGTTTACTTGTCGATGGCGTGCTTATGTTTTGTTGTTTGTTTTTCGTTCTGGAGAATGAAGTTAGCCAGTCATACTTCTTCCCCTGCAATCTCACCTCGAACTAGAGAGGGGCCCCATCAGGAGACTCCTGTAAACGTGTATTTTTCCCGAAAGCTGCGGAGTCTCAATGGTGTGGTTTGGATGGTGCGGGTTCAAACCCCACCTTTGAAGCAACGGGAAAAGTGCCGCCTGACCTCCAAACCACAAAAATCACACCACTTGGGGGGAAGCTGACTACTGCCATGTTTTCCCTTGGTGTCCCCTGTTTTCCCCTTGGTTTCCCACGGTTTCCACAGAACTACGGGTCAATGCGGCTTGGATGGACTCGAGCCGAGGCCCAGCGAGAGCTCCGGTGCGGCAGTTTCAAAAGGCGCAGTGGGAAAGAAGAACCGAGCGACAGAACGGGGGTGCCCAAATCGAACGGGGATCCGAGCAGGGATTTGCACAAAGTTGCCCATTGATCCGAATGCCAAATATACCAAAGAAAACAAGGAGAAGGGCTGGCTCTTGTGGTCCCTTCCCGAGATCCTGACCTTTGTGAATCTGGACCATGTTAGTAGCAAGCAAGCAGGTTGTTCGTTTTGTTAGGTGGCCAGTCCACTCAGGAAGTGAAACAAAAAGTTACACAAGCAACACAACCAACAACTCCACCGGGGGGGGGGGGGGGAAGCAAACAACCAAAACAAGCACCGAACTAGAGCATCCAAAGCCATGAAGACATAACATGTTCTCATGGACGGTGCGAGCCCGGGCAAAACCGCGCAACTCAGTTGCTACTGTGGATGGACGAAATCCTGCACCACCTGTGAAACCCTGGTTCCCCTGTGCCAAAAAAACAAGGTTTCCCATGGTGTCAAAGTGGAGCAAGATTTCGTCCATCCACCGTATCTCTTACCTGTTGAGTTGCCAAACTTTCAACTGTTCTTGCCAGGCTTCTCCATTATCTTAACCGGCCCAAAAAGTTTATGCAGATGAAAAAACGTATTTCTCAAGTTGCCGCCGGAGAACTGAACATTTTCTGGCCTGGTTGTCATCTCCGCAGGTCAGATCCGTGGTGCTGCGTGGGCATGTGAACTTGTGGCACGTTTTTGTCATTCCCACCGCAGGGGACTTTCCCCTTTTTCCCTGACGGTTGATTGCGGGTGGGCATGCGCTGAAACTTCTGCCCGGTCATTTGAAGAAATTAATTGGAGCATTGATTCGTTCGGGCCAGTCAAGCATAAGCATCGACTTTCAAATTTGCTGCTCCCCCAAATTTGTGATTTGCCTGTTGGTTTCCCTTCAAACCCACCCCTTTTGAGGTCGTCCAGTTATTCGGCCTCAAGATGAAGGCCTGAGGTTTACTGCAGGGCCTTTATGTGCCTGCACGCTTTGCGAGGCCCCTACGGCAGAACCGCGCGGCTCCCTCGGGTGGTTTTGACTCGCCGCTTTGTTTCGGGTTTGGAAGTGAGCGAACCAATTGCAGATGGTTATTGCTGGAGAGGCAAAGAGTGGTACTTGGAGGCGTGCTATCGAACAGATGGTGCCCTCCAACATTGGAACCTGATTAGGAGGTTTCTCCAAAGTGGCGGGATCTGTTCGCCGAAATTCTGAGCAATGGGCCAAGACCTGCGAAGCAAGGCACTTGTGTGCCCAGACGAGCTGGAAGAACTGGACTTGCAGGGTAGAGGGGCTGGTCAGAACTTTCTGGAGCAGTTTCACAGCAGTCAGGCAAGAATCAAAGACCTGGTACCCTCCCAAAAACGGAAGGAGCCTGAAAGAGGGTCCCTACCAAAAAGTTGGTCGAACTGTTGTGTTCGGGAGGGAAGTGCGAACTGACCAAAGAGCTTTAGGGTATCCTCAGCTCGCTCTCGTGTTTGTGCGCTGTTCTGAGGTTGCGCTGCAAGGTGGTATGTCAAGACTCTGGCGAGGAGACTGCAGTCTGTCCGCGAGTTCCTGGACTTTATGCTTGGGAAACCATGCCAGTGGCGAACACGACGTTTGAGCTCGTTGCCAGTCCACTCAGGAAGTCACCCAGAGATGCCTTCAGCTCTGCTGTTTGACTGACTAACTGTGGTTGATTGAAAAGAGATAGATGCCAAGCAGGCTGGGCTTTCATTCTTCCCAACAAGAGCACGACGCCGTTGCAGCATCCGGAGATTCCCCACAGGTTTTTACAGCATGGCTGGTTTCAAGTTGGTGGATACCTCGGGCGGATCATGCTCTTGTGTCTCTCAAGTTGATGAAAAACCTCGCTCTGGCATGTGGCAAGGCAGGCAACAGAATAGTCGCTGTGGCTCATACATCAACCTCTCGTGTCTTCAGGATGAGGCATGTTTGTTGCAGTTCCTTTCCGAGGGAGGGCCCCGGTTTGGTCAACTTCCGTGCCCCAAGGCTCCTGGATTTGGCCCAGAAATGGTTGTGACGCCCCACAGCAAGTTGGGGTGGGGTTTTGGGTGCCCTGGGCAGTAGGCTCGGCCGACCGCTTGTGCAAGCATCTTTAATTTCTATAAACCAGAGAAAGGTTGTCAAGCACCCTTCAAAGGGAAACCAACAACAAGGCTTTCCAAACAAAGTGTTTAAACGCTTCCATTCGCTCAAGAATATGTCTGTTCTGGTATTTTTCCAGGGGGGCCAAAGCGACTAGGAGCTGGCAGCGCTGCGCTTGCTGGCGCTGCTGAATGATCGCTGGGCTCGGGAGGGGCTGATACTGTCCAATGTGCCGTGGGTGCATACGGCGTCCTCGTTTTCGCAGGGAAGGACCGGGGGACCGTTTGGTCGGTTTTTTCCAAGCCCGAAGAGCTTCTTGTTGACCTCCATTTCAGAACTCTTGGTTTAGAACAGGTGAGGGGTCTGCGGAAAAAAGGCAGGGCCCCCCAATTGGATAGGGACACCCAAGCCCATTGTGGCTTTTTGGGTTCCGATCCAACCCAGACCCGAAAAGTTCCTACGAAATTAGCCCACGGAGAAATGATCAAATGAACCTTGGCTGATTTTGATCGTGGGGTGTCCCACTCTGAAGGTTTTGGGATCATATATCAATTCAGAGCCGTAGCAAGGGGAGCTATGGCAAACTAATAATGAGTATTACTAAATATTAGGGGTCGGCCCATCAGCAGAGATGACGCTATGGCTCCCCTTGCAGCGGCTGTAAATCAAATTTGGGTGGTGGTGCAAAATAGCTAGAATGGGGACTTGGGGTACTTGAAGACTAGTCTCAGTCATTCTGGGGGAATAAGGCACCCTATTAATTAGACAGATTTAGAGCCTTATCTGGTTCAACCTTTGGGACCATGTCGCACCTTTGCCCTTGACTTGGAATGATGAACAAAGAACGCAACAATAAAAACAAACAGCCCTAGGTTTACGTATGAAGGTTGACCCAGTCATTCTACCTTTTTCAGTTTATGGTGCGGCAACGTGCCGCGCGGCTTCTGCCCAGGTGCCGGTCTTTTGCCCCCTCTACGCCGTGGAGCACCTGAACTTCGGATTGCTGTTGGAGGAGCCCCCGGGGGCGACTCGGAAGAGGAATCTTTGGGCCAATTGGCCAACCCACGGAACTTGGCGGTTCTGAACCCTCCTTGGGTTCTGAGAGGTTTTGTTGTGGGTTAGTGGTTGGCTGCTGCGGCTGTGTCAAACAACATAAACAGCCCATAGTGAGTGTTTCTTGGCTGCCATGGGTTTCTTGGCTGCTATGTGGATGTGTCAGACAAACATAAAGTGCTAGAGTCGATGGACCTTGACATCTCTGTCGCATTTGTGTCACGGTTGCGGCTCAGTTAAAATGGGCCAGTTGTGTGATTTTTGGGGTTGGAGGTGAAAGCTGAGGTCGTTTGGATTTGGCACCCCTTTTGGTTCATGAGTCAAGGTCCCAACAGCGGAGGAGCGAAGGGAGAACAAACTTATATGAAAGGGGTTGGTTTGGATTTGTGATCTTTCAACAGCGCAGTTGGTATTATGCGTTTTGCAAAGCAGAATCAGGGAGGGAGGGAGGGAGGGAGGGAGGGAGAGACAGAGAGAGAGAGAGAGAGAGAGAGAGAGAGAGAGAGAGAAAAAAGGAGACGACACCACGCTGCGATTCACCTCAACACACCAATCATGGTTGAAGAGAACAGCTGAAGTTTCGGGACACAGCGCAAGCGCGCGCGGGGGGCTCATCTTGTTCTTCACTGCGGCTGTGGTTTTTGGAACGCCAAAGGTCACCTTGGGCGAGCTGAAGAGAAGATGCGGCTCTGCTGCACTGCTGGGGGCCGGTCCTGGAACCTGGACACTGAACCCAACGCTGGGGACAGCTCTTTTGGGGGGGACGAATCGAGCTCAGTCATGATGCCTGTCCTTTACGTGAGGGTGCCCTGGTTCTCAGTTTGGGAATTATCGTGATTTGCGCAAATGGTTTTAGGCTGCCACTTGCTGGGATCTACTCGCTTGGGAGTCCCAAAGTAAGATGACAAAGCAGTCGTGAGGGACAACCACGGGCCGCAACAGTCGGAAGCTTGAGGCGACAACCGTGACAGTCCGCAACCTGAGGCTCACGCCAGTAGCTGGACCAGGACAGTTGTGACAGCCAAATTCTTGAAGCAGGCAGTTTCACAAGCGCAGGAAAACGTTCGTCTTCTGAGCCTCTGAGCAGACTCTGAGAGATCGTTCGAAGCAAAGTAGTGTTGTTAGTTTTCGCTTTTTTGTGCTCATTTTTCAGTTCCAGGCAACATTGCCACCGTCACGTTCCGTTCGGAACGCCGAGTGAATCGAAGGCGGGGAGCACACGCGGACGCGCGTGGTGGACTACCTGGGCCGCGAGAAGCTACCGCTGCTTGCCGCCACCTGCGCCGCAGCTCGGCCGTTGCCTTGCGGAATCTGAGAGTTGGACGGGAGGCAGGGTTGCTTTATGGCCGATGGATCTTTGGACCTCAACTTTTAGTTTAACTGCTTGCAGAGGGGCCAACAGCAACCAAGGTTTCCTCCATTTCCTTCTTCGGAACCACGAAAAGTGGTCAGTTTCAATAACGGTAAATTTATCATGTTTTGAAGAGGAAATCCAGTGCCCTCCCCAAATTGACCAACCCCAATCTGACGAGTGCCGTTTTGGGGGCCAGTGTCTTATTCACTGGAAGGTTGCAATTTCGGAACCTCAACCCCCACCCAAGGTAACTTGGGGGGGAGGGAGGCCAAGGAAGACGTGTACTTCCAGGTTTGCAATCGGCAATCGGCAGTTGGTGATTTTTGCACCACTTGGGGCTTGTTTGGTTTGTTTTCCTCTCGTGGCCATTAGCCTACACACCCTAAACAACGGTCCAGAAGGAAAGTAGTTCTGTATGCCGCCCTCTAAATCCAGTTTTGTTTGTGGGGGTTCCCTACAAAAAGTCAACCACCCCAAAAAGGTTCCCATTTTTCTGGCAGGGCTACGCAATCCCAACGAACAATTCAAACACCCCCATTCCAGCCAGAAAGCTCGCTTAAAACAAATTGACAGGAAGACAATGCAACCAGCCAAACTTATCAACCCGATTAATCATGGATTCCCCTTTCAAGCGTAAACCAACCCGCCTTTGGTGGTGCGCAGTGCAATGCGTGACCGATATTTCCAGGATAGTCGGCATGTCCTTTGTAGCCAGCAGGACGGGCACCTGTCATCGAAAGCAGAACCTAAGGGAGAAATGTGGGCGTGCTTCTTGTTGAGGGTCGCCTTGTTGGAAGCCCAAACCGCAAAGAGATGAGGGTTGCTTAACTTTGACACACCCACGATGGGCAATCCAGGATTTCTTGATCCGCTGGTTGATGAATGGGAACTTGCCCCATTTAAGAATCGCGCCACTTGTTAGGACACGTTTTTGCTTTAACAAATATATCTACCAGGTTGATAAAACGTCAGTGGGTCGACATTACGAACATCAGCTGTCGACATTATATACGTCAGCTGTCTTTCCACAATGGAAGGACAGGCGGGTTGTGGACCACTGCCCTCTTAAGGCGCCCACCCGAGTGGGACTCAGCTTCCATTGCCCCCTGCGCTTCAGGCGAATTTGGCTGCAAGTTACCTCCTGGGCGCCTCAGCAGGGGACGGGGACACACTAAGGCCGGAAATGTGGGGTTCGGTTTGATTCGTGTTTGGTTAGATTTGATTTGTTTGTTTGTTTGTTTTGCTGTCTTGCTTGCTGGTTTGCAGATTTGTTCCTTCACGTGCTTGGCTTGGTGGCGAAATAAACAAATGCATGTCAAAGGCCTCATTTTCCATGTTGACTTGATCAGGGTCACAGCCCAGCTCAACGCTTAGTGGCGGCTGCAGGAAGGCCTAGGTAAGCTAAAAAACAAACTGGGTAGCTTTCTTTACATGGTGTTGTGGACAGGCCTTTTTAGTATTGTTTTTTTTTTACGACTCACCTGACCAAGAGATTAACATTTTGGAGTGGCTGAACCTTGGTTTAGGGGTGAACCTGGTTTAGTGGCCAAACACATAGATGTATCAAGCTGGACGGTACAAGGCGGGGAAAATGTATCATGTCTAGCTTCTCGGTTCTGTTTCACTTTTTGTGTGTGTGTGTGTGTCTGGAATTACCAAGCAAAGCCCTTTTCCTTTCAGTTTCCCTTTGACCCCAAACCAGGGTACTGAGCGTGAAACGAAGAGTTTTCCCTTTGAAGAGCCCTTTCCCAACAAAAACGCTCCTCTAGACACGCCCGCCCGTCTGTTCTCCCTTCCATGCCATTCAATCCTTCATGTCACTCCAGCTTTCACAGACACAGGCTGTGGCTAAGAGATGGAGTAACATGGCTCTCTTCTCCCTTCTTCATTCCTCTCTTTTGAAAGGACCCCCCCCCCCCACTCCAACCCCCCCCCATCCCACCCCCACCCCACCCCACCCCCACCCCACCCCACCCCCCACCCCACCCCGCCCCGCCCCGCCCCGCCCCGCCCCGCCCGGCAAGCCCCGCCAAGCCCCGCCCCCCACCCCACACCCCACCCCACACCCCACCCCACACCCCACCCCACACCCCCACAACCCCACACCCCACAACCCCACAACCCCACACCCCCACAACCCCACACCCCCACAACCCCACACCCCCACAACCCCACACCCCCACAACCCCACACCCCCACAACCCCACACCCCCACAACCCCACCCCCACCCCACCCCACCCCCACCCCCCACCCCCCACCCCCCCACCCCCCACCCCCACCCCACACCCCACACCCCACACCCCACACCCCACACCCCACACCCCACACCCCACACCCCACACCCCACACCCCACACCCCACACCCCACACCCCACACCCCACACCCCACACCCCACACCCCACACCCCACACCCCCACACCCCACCCCACCCCACCCGACCCCACCCCACCCCACCCCAACCCTGCCCCACCCCACCCCAAAAAAGGACGCACACACATGCATGAAACCAACGCTCACTTTCCATTATGCTTTCGGTTCTAGTTTTTTTTTGGGGGGGTCCCCCGTATTTTGACACATACCCATATCGATATCTCCTAACTTATCAGTTAGTCGTTTAGGACCAACACGTCAATCGCCCACTCGCGTGGACTTTCTCTTTCTCGAGAACGAACCTGGCAAAAGTATTGTGCAGAACCATTCCGTTTGCCACACACTGGCCGCGGGCGTCTCAAAATAGGGGATAGTATGCTTTGGCTGTCAAACCTTTAGTGTCCCTTTTAAACACCGGGTTTCCTCCATTTCCCTTTTTGGAAACTCCAAAAGTACAACCTTTGAAGGGGAAATCCAGCGCCGCCAAAAAGGTACCTTCAGCAAAAGACATACCCATTTGTCGCCCATGTTCAGAACGTACCATGTCGAGCCAATTGTCATGGTTTGCGGATAACAACGTATACTTTTCCATTTGGGTGTGTCTTCTTTTGGGGGGAACCTCCGTTTTGATGGTTTTAAGGGGAACTGAAAGGACATGTTCGGGGTCCTAACGAGAGCACACCCATTTGCTCCTTTGCAAACAAAGCTCCAGCCAGCAGCTGCCTAGATTCCGACTGTCCTATGCAACAGCATTCCGGCGCGGAGCACACCCTGCATGCTACCCCCCGCCTTCATTTCCAGGTTTACAAATGTGGGGCCAACATCAAAGAAAGCAGTGCTCGCCATTAAACTCGGTCAAACCACAAGTAGAAAATATATCTCACCATAGTATGTCCTTTAGTTTCCTTTACCCATTTGGTTTCCCATTTGGTTTCCTTTCGTTTCCCTTCGACCACCAAATTTCTGCCCTGTGATGCGGGCCTTCGACCCCCCATCTTCCGCCAGACTGCTGCCGGATGGAGCCCTGTTGCGCGCCCCGGCTGAATTTGCACTTACCCTCCCCAGCACCATGGAGTTGTGGACCCTTTGAGAGTGTTTTTTTTGGGGACTCACCACAAAATGGTGTTCCTTCTGGTTTCCCTTTTAAAGCCACAGAAACTGGGTATCCTCAAAAAACACCCATGGGGTGGACTTGTAGGGAAACCAAATGGAAAAACACACAATTCAAACAGGGCATCCCCTATTTTAACACATACCTCTATGGAACCTCTGCCAAAGGTCTCCTGAGGAGAACAGCTTTCACAGCTGTCAGGTTCGATTTGATATGGCGAAGATCTTCTTTTTGCATATCCTCTGAAGATACCTCTGCGCCGCTCCGAGATGGACACTCAAGGGTTTAGTTTGCTTTCCTGCCGTTTCCAGCTTGTTTTACCAGGATAAGTTCTAACTATGGCACACCCAGTAGTAAGAGACCTTTCTTGGTAGGCAAAGGTGGAGCGGTTTTCCCAGCTCAGACAGGATTCAGTTGCACGTTTCAGAGAACAAGGTATGTAGATGCCCGATTTGTCGAACGACGCAATGCAGTTTCCGCATTGCCCCTACTAGTTGTTGGTTGAGACTGACGGTTTGAGGGTAGCCTTTTGTGGGGCTTGGTTTCATGGGAAGCCAAGCGGAAGCCACTCTTTTTTGGGTTGCTCCAGTTGAATCGAAGCACACCCATGTCTTGATAGAAGCAATGTCTTCCTTGCGGTCGGTCATGGACCCGTTGGGAACTAAGAGAACCATGATACGGAGGCCTTTGAGGGAGCTGTGCCCATGGACATTTAGCTAGCGTCAAACGCGTCAATGGAAAGGGATGGTTCGGTTCGGCTCAAAGCCAAGTTAATTTCAGGTTTTGGGGTGTGTCAGAAAACTGCCGCAGGGAAACAGGACACCGTCAAGATTGTTGCTTTCTTCGGTTTCCCTTCAAATCAGAGCCCACCGGCGCACCAGCAAAAACTGTACCACTGTACCAACTCAAAGCAAGTGTACCAACTCCAACGAAGTGTACCAACTCAACCGAAATGTACCAACAAAACAAGTGAAGTGCAGCAGTGTACCAAACCAAGCCACGCTGACATATGGCATGTCCCTGGTGACTCCCAGCCATCCGGTCCCTCAGCTCTTTAGGTGTTTAGTTGGGTTAGTTGTAGTTTCAGGGTCATAATCGTTTGTCGGCTGGTAGGCCATATCAGTAGTCCATAGGTTAGTTGGTTTAGTTGGGTAGGTCAGTTAGTTGGTCCGGTCCCTTAGCTCTTTAGGTGCGGAATGGATTTCGTCCACAGTAGCACCGCATGATAGCTTGCTCCCCAGGCACGGGGCTCTGTGGGCTCTTCGGGCGCGGGGCATTGCTGGACGCGCCGCCGGTGTGGCTACCGAAGGCGGGAAGGACTCAAGGACTTCATGGACCCCCCTGGAAACCCAAACTTCCATTGGCTGAAAAAGCCACTTTTTATTTCCCCCTGCTTTTAAAGAGAACTTATCACTCGTGGAAACGTGCCTTTTTTTCCGCAAATGGAGAAAAAGGACGATGCCTGAGTTTCTTGGACTTTAGGCACTTTTTGGGTTTGGGCCGTTTTAGTGGAAAACAACAGTTTTTGGACTTTTGGCCAGTCCACTCAGGAAGTGGGTGGAGTCCTAACAATGCACACGCGCACACGCTGACTCGAAAGGGGCAACAAACACTTCGAACATGTCACTGAAATCTGAGGGGGTTGTTGTAAAGCAAAGCCCATTCTGGGAGGACCCATTTCTGAAAATCAGCGCCGGTGAACCAATAGTTTTGGGTGTGCCCCGCCTCTCGGCTGCACCAGCCCCCCCCCCCCCCCCGCCTCGCTTTGGGTCTTAGAATGAGGGGACCCCAAACGGTCGGTTTCTTTTTGGCTTCCGTTTAAACCGAGAGGGTACCCTCAGAAAGTAGGCACTTACCGCTTTGGCTGGGGATCCGGGGATCCCGAATCAGTTGACCAAAGTGAGCGCGCACTGTCTCCATCCGAATCCTAGATGCCAGGGACCAGTCCTGTGGAGAAAATCCTTCCTCCAGTCTGGCAATCGGAATGAGGTTCTTGGACGCTGGCACCTAGGATTTGGATGGAGGGTGGCGCTTAGGTTTTCAGACGAAAACGCAACTTCCACGAGTCTTGGTTTTTATAGGCGGTGACCTGCGCGCTGGGCGCGCGCTGGCCGGAGGTGCAGCGCGCCGCGCGGGGCCCGGAAAGCGGAGGCTTTGCGTGGGGCGTCACCTTTTGGGCCGGGCCTATTGATGTTTAAAGGTGCTAAGCCTTTGGGGCGGCCCATTGAGTTTCCTTTAGTGATGTTAGGGGGGTGAAGAACCTGTTGAGCCAGACCTTGACGAACCAGTGGAAAGATTGGGAGGTTGGCAACCAAGCCTTCAACGCCCTGAGAACCAAACTCTATGGCTCTCTGGAGACCCGGAGACATGCTGTTCCCTTTGCAGTGGCTTTGTGGGAGCAATAGCCACAAAACGGGAGGCACATGGTTTCGCCAAGATATGGGCGTGCCTTTTTTGCCCCCCCCCCGTCCCTTTTAGTGGTTTTAAAGAAAACCCAAAGGAAAATCACCATTTTGGGGTTCCCTAAAAAAGACACACCCCTCTAGCAGAACGCAAAGAACATCTTCCAGTCCAACTTTGGAAGTGAATCATCGAAGCTTGGACAGTTACTTTCCTTTCGGCGAAGCCGAAGCCCGGTCTGCTTTCATGATGGTTGAGAAACACCCATTTAGGGGGGTTCTGTTTCGGGGGTCCGATTATGGAAACCAGTCGCCAAGGGCTCAAATTGTTGGAAGGGAAATGTAGGTCGAAAACAATCAACAGCTGAAATCCTTACATGCGTTGCCCTCAGCTTTCTACCATGTATCATGTATGAGTTGGGGCGACCATCGTTTAGGATTTCAGAAGGGTACAAAGGTTATGTGTCTGGGGGGTACATATCCCAGCGCTGTTTTGGCTTTTGAGGTTTCTCAGTGTGTTGTTGTTAGTGCCGCCAAACCAATGGTATGTGTCACAACTCCCCCATGGTTTCCTTTTGGTTGCTTCGTTCCCCCTGCAGGTTGCTTTTTATTCGGAACGCAAGGGAAGCCATCCATTTTAGGGGTCCCATGTTGAGACAACCCCGTGTACTGGTCTGATTGCCAGCAACTTTGCAGGGACACGGCTTGTCAGCCAGCATGCCTGAGATATCAGTGAGCGTTTAAACAGGTGAGGCAAGGTTAGCTCGTGTCCAAGTTTGGAGTAAAACTGTTGAAAGATTCACTGCGGAACATAATGGAGCCTGCCCACGCAAAAGCGCCATCATTAACGAAGCAACATTGAGGCAGCAGCATTGAGGCGGCGTTAACATATCAACGAATTTGCAGCAGGCAGCATGCCCCCTTGGAATGTATCACGGTCCTTAGAGTTGTACATCTGCCAATCAGCCAGCGTTTGGTTGGCTTTCCCGGTGGTACGTGAATTTCACGAATCCAATCTCTTTGCTAGGAGAGGCAAAGGACTTCCGGTGATTTCTGATCCCGAAATTGGTACTGGTGTCGAGGCTAGCTCGTATTTGGCTCCTGCCCCCATACTTCGGAAGATTGGCTGATCTTGAAAAGCTTGCCGCGGTCCACACCGCGACCAACCATTACTGCACCAAAAGTCCATATGCGTTCCACCGCATAACGGAGCTTGGAATGCTTTGCAACGCCCCGCAGCCGTCAAAGCTGAAGAACTCGATTTCCTCGATCGCCAGCTCGCCAAGACTCTTGGCTTATGGAAATCCAGAGCGGGCACGGGGTCGGATCGGGTACGTGTTTCGGCCGTCCCGAGCTTCGATCGCGGGACCTGCAGGGCCCTGATTTGCTCTCTTCTTTTTGAGGGGGTTCCCCTTGAAAAGCAGCTGCAGCAAGACTCAACAGGTGCCTTTTCTCCCACCACTGGAGGTCTGGGTCCAAGTTGATTCAAAAGCACTGGGACTAGCTAAGTTTGGGGCGGGTCCCGGCGGCATGTGCTTGCTGACTGTAGATGTGGTACCAATTCGCCATGTCTTTCTGCCAACTCACAGAGCAAAAAGAAAGCAAGTTCTGCTTACCCTTGAAAGATGGTTTCCACTACGGTGTCTGCAAGTAGGCTGGCCAAGGCGGAAGGCATCGGAGTGCATTTTTCCCTCTTTATTTGATCCGCTTGTTTAAAGTGCTCAAGGTAGCCCTGGCCAGGGCGGCCAGGGAGTCTAGGAAAGGAAGTAGTATAGAGCATCAGCTTGCTGATTTGAACATCCGGGTGCGTAGTTGTGAGCGCCGTGCTACTACGTACTTCTGCATAGTGAATGTCCATCTTTGGCGTAGCTTCGGGTAGCGAAAACCAGCTTAGAGATATCCACAAGGAGCCCAACAAGGTATTTCGAGTTGTGTTCCATCCGACAAATGCAAACCCCAGCAGGGTTTGCCTATCAGACCCAGTATGGTTGAACATGAAGAGACTGGTTCTCTTTGGATGTAGATCCCCCCTGGGACGGCAGGCATCCCAAAAGAAATCTCAACAGATCGAAAGGGCCGCATGAAGTCGGTGGGACTGCAACTACGAGCAAGGATTTTGGGAAGAGTCGTCATTGTCGTCGGAAAGTTGGCTTTATGTCGATCCGTGCTACCAAGGGACCGCCCCTTAAATAGTGACAAGTCATAGGGACTGTCCACTTTGGTATCACAGAAAGGGTTGTTCTCGACAACCATGGTCGTCATCTACTTTGTGAGCAATGTCCTGGTTTTGCTCTGGAACCGTTGTCGACCGAAAGGGCGCTGAACGCTGATCAGAGTGTTGGGGGTAAACCGAGCCTTTGTTTCGGCGCGTTCTGACCAAACATGGCTTGCTTCTTATTGGCTTTCCTTTCGCCAACCAAAGCTGTTCCCAAAATCGATCATAAGGCTGGAAACCCGGTATTCTGCAGGGACCAACTTGCTACCCCTGCCGATCTCTTAGCAACGAGGGGCCAACCTCTTTGGAGTGTTCCATCCTTGAGGACGCTCCCTCACGCGGTCACCGTACCGCGCCGGACCGGTCTTGCTCCGACAGCTACACGACAGCCAGCGAGAGGATCTGCCAGAGGGATTGTAGGCGCGAGAGACATACCTTGGGATATTGACCTTTATGACCTGTACCCTCCTTAGTCTTCCCTCACGCGGGGTATTACACCCGCGATTCAAGCTTCTTGAGGATTGATGTCAGGCGTGATTTAGGATTTAGAGTGATTCCCTTGAAGATGTGAACAGGCGTTGGCAGCTGTCTAGTTGTTCTGGGAATGCGCCGTCTCTTTGAGTGGCACTGCTTTTGCAAGTGTGAAGCGAGAGGTGAGTTTTTTTTCTCTGCTTCGAGCCCTCGAGCCCATTTTGTTCCATGCTTGGCAGTTTGAGCACGGGTGGCAATCCATCCCAGTGCTTCCGGTCACTAAAGTTGGCAACCAGGGTTCCTTATAGGTTTTACATGATGGCTGCCCCGTTCGTTATTTTGCTGACTGGAAGCAGCTGGGCATGGCACAAGGAGCACCCTTGGGTTGGCCCTGAAGAGGCTTCAGCCTGTGCTTTCCCTTGGCGCGCCTTTCCTTCCCTTCCAAAAGCCGGCGGCTCCGAGTTCGGCGGCACAGCACGCCGGGATCTGGGAGAGGATCCAAGACCCCCTTCTCCGGCCTGCTCCCACTGGCTTCCCTCAAAGGACCCCCAAATGAAGCTTTAGTGAGATCTCATTGGGATAGCATGTTATGGAAACAGGGGGAGCAGTGGGCTCAGGGAGGACCATGGGGAGCTTTTGGAATCCTTTGAGAAACCATCTACAGGAAATCGGCCAATTGCCAAAAGCAAGGATTTCCTGTAGAATTTCTTACCTTTCCATATGATTGACCATCGCTCGCGCTTGCAAATCCCTGCGCTAAGGATGGGCGCGAACCAGTCCACCGTGAAGTCAGCGGTGGGCCCGGCGTGTTGCACGTCCCGAGCCGCCCGATTTGGTGTCCGTTTTGCTTGCTGGGGGGTTGACTCCACAACCTTCCCACCCCAATGCTATTTGACCACCAGGTTTTTGCCTTTTGGCTGGGCCCAGGTCCCCTAGACACTCACTGTCTTCCAGGCCCTGAGTCCACATGTTGGCGGGTGCGATTGGAAGATTTTGGAAGATGGCTGGTTTTGAGTTGCCGCGGTTTTGTGTTGCCCAGGGAATCTCCCGAAACAAAGTGATGAACTCGTCGTGGGACAGCCCATGGGTCAATCAGGGTGTTTGGGGGGCTTCGCCAGAGGAACGCCGCTGCGCGACAAACAGAGGGAAGTTCCTCGCCAATGAACCATTTTGGGAGAAACATCCATTGAGAACGGAGCCCTCGAAAACGCTTTGTTTCCAGGGTAGGCCTCGCATCTCTCGTGCAGTTTGTGCCAGGGCGATGCCGCCATTATGTACACCTACACGGATGAGGCCTGGCACGGGGTTTTGGCGATCCGACTAAGATCCGAGAAGCAAACAGACAAATGCGCTTGGGCCATGGACATCGCCATTTTTCTGGTCATTTTTATGGTCATTTTTATGGTCATGGTTGTTGTCATGGTTTTGGCTTAATTATGGTCGTGGGTTCCTCAATGCGCGGCCCTTACACTGGTTGACAGTTCGCAGTGTCGAGTCAAGCACAGGACATGGCCGCGGCATGAAACCAAGAGCATCCTCCGGCCTTATGTGTGTGTGTGTGTTTTTTAAAGGTTGGACCCTCCATTTTTTTTCCTTTTGGTTTCCTTTGTACAAACACTAAGGAGGGGGTTCCCAAAACAGCCACACCATTATCGAAAGAGTCTGAGGCATGTCACAACCCTTAACCCTTGCCCCAAAAAACAGGTCTTTTGATCATGGCACATCCAACCTGTTTGGACCTTGTTCCTCAACGGACCAATTCCAGTGGCATGGCAACGTGACATGTGAGCTTGGGTCAAACACCCGAGCTAGTGTCTATTTGGGCGGGACAAGGGGATTATCCACGAAACTTGAGCCACAGAAACCAGGAAACTCATAGATTTGTCCATGGCCTTTGCAGGAATCACATATAGGCATCATACACTCTCTATTTTTGTATATGCATATTGTATGTGCATGCACATATATGCGTATGCACACGCATGACTTGCTCGGGGTTGGGACTAGGGTTTGAAAGGACTAAGCACGTGAATCTCTGAACCCAATTTGGTAGTGCTTCAGGTGGTTCAGGGTATTTGTCTTGCCAAGCGCAGATCAGCTTGGCCAAGATAGCAAACTCGAAGCATTGTGACAGCTATTGGCGGCACCATCATTGCCTGTATTGAGAGGAATGCGTCGCAAAGTTGGGTACGAATACATTGGGAGCGTTCAGGCTGATTGAGTAGCTGCAAGCAGACGGATGATGTCATTCCTTGGTGATCCGCAGGCAGACTACGAACATGCCTTACTGAGTAGGAACACCAACTGGAACTCCAAGACACGGTATCCTTCCTCCAACGGTCCTCTATATACAGACACGGGTGTATCTTAGATTGTGGAACCCCCCAAAATGGTGGGTGTTCTTTGGTTTCCCTGCAAGACCACCTTTAAAAAGGGTACCGGAACCCTCCAAAACGACCCACCCACATGGGTTGTTTGATGGTTCCATCTTTGCACAGGACCCAGACCCCTACCAGGACAATTGTCTAAAGGGGCATGTCCAGTTCATATTTGGTGCTGGGAGTAAGGCAAGCCAAGAAAGAACAAGTCACGTTTGGTGACTGGAATTTTATCCTGCAAGTTCCCAACACTAAGGTCTTTGCAAGAAGTTGAACCTTTTAGCTGGTTGTGCAAATCAACCCTTAATCCTCATAGCAGATGGTAGTGGGTTGAACAAATTGCACTGGTGTTATACTACGGATTACGGATTAGGATCAGGGATGCCGCCCCATTTAGAACAACCCAGTTTGGCCCCTCGGTGCAGCCATCCGGTGCAGCCATCCTTAATTAATCTGGGGTTGCTTTGGGAGCGGTTTATACCATTGACCTGATGAGCGCGCAAATCAACATGAACGCCTTCGGTTCCACAAGGCCGGGGAACATCATTTGTTTGACGCTGACATGCTTTGGGCAGACATCCAATTTGTTTGCCTATGGCGAGCTCACTGATCGGGGGTAGAACGAGCGAAAACCATGATAAAGGTGCTTTACTTGGGGATCCCTTAACTTGGTGGCCCCCAGCCATCCCCTTAGCTTTTTGTTTCTGTTGGTTTAGTAGGAGTTTCCATGTGACTCACCAGGGGAGAAACTTTCACCCAGTAAGCAAATGCAGAATTTGTATTCGGGTGTTGCCATCAGGTCTGTTGCCTGCCACTTGAAGAACTCGAGTTCTGTCGCATGTGGTAGGCGCCCATGCTCGCCACGCACGCCTTCTATCCGATCGTGCAGGCTCGAAAGTGTTCTTTTGCGAATCAAGAGAGGTCAGCTCTTTCTCAAGCACGAAGCAAGGACACCCTGTAGTTGCCCACATTGTGTGGCTTTGGTTTACTCACAGTCCTTCTTTTTTTCATTTTCTTGTCTTGTCTTTTTTTTTGGGGGGGGATCAACATTGTGTAGACTGAAGATCATTCTTGGGTGTACCTCAAAGTTGGGCCGAGTATGTGAGCAGGTAAATCAAGAAGCATGGCCAGATGCCCAGCATCCCGTACCGCCATGCACATCGGTGATCGTGAAAATCTCCAGTACCACCTGGGTGTGTCTTTTTTTGTGGGCACCCCTTTTTGGTTTGCTTTTTGAAGGGACACCAAAATGTAAACTATCATTCCTCGAGGTCCCCTAAAAAAAGACAGACCCACCCTTCGTAGAGGGAACTCCACTTGGGGGGTTTGTTGTGGGGACCCTGCTTTTCCACCCCCCAACATATTTTTGTTAGTTTGTATTGCCCAAGATGGGAGGTTGTCCTTGGGCCCTAGTCACTTGGCACCAGGCTGCCATGGCTTGTTCGGCGCTGAAGCATTGATAAGTGATGAGGGTGAGGTTTCCACCTGCCTGGGGTGCCCAGGGCGTGGGCCCATGGGCCCGGGAGCCGGGCAGCGGAGGCCTTCCTGGCGCAAGCGAAGGTCCCGGTGGAGCTGCGGGACATCTCCGTGGCAGGGCGCTTGCTCTCGCAGCTCAGCCAAGGAGAACGTGGGGTGGAGGTCTGCCAGCTTGCGGCGGAAGAGAGGTGTGTTTTTTGGTGTTCACGATGTTTTTTTTAGGTAAAGCCGGCTCTCCTCCAACACAAGTTTTTGTTCCCGAAAGCATGGCGAAGGGTTCTTCCGCTGGGTTCACTTGAGTTGTTCTCATGAGAGTCATTACAAGGTGTCATTGCAAGGAATCATCATCATGAAAGTCATTGCAAGGAGTCATTGCAAGGAGTCATTGCAAGGAGTCATTGCAAGGAGTCATTGCAAGGAGTCATTGCAAGGAGTCATTGCAAGGAGTCATTGCAAGGAGTCATTGCAAGGAGTCATTGCAAGGAGTCATTGCAAGGAGTCATTGCAAGGAGTCATGGCAAGGATTGCAACTTGCACTTGACTCCTTGCACTTGCAACTTGCACTTGACTCCTTGCACTTGCAACTTGCACTCCATGCACTTGCAACTTGCACTTGACTCCATGCACTTGGCTCCTTGCACTTGGCTCCTTGCACTTGGCTCCTTGCACTTGGCTCCTTGCACTTGCAACTTGCACTTAACTCCGTGCACTTGCGACTTGCACTTGACTCCATGCACTTGGCTCCTTGCAACTTGCAATGGCTCTCATGACTCCTTGCAATGACTCCTTGCAATGACTCCTTGCAATGACTCTTGCAATGACTCCTTGCAATGACTCCTTGCAATGACTCCTTGCCATGACTCCTTGCAATGACTCCTTGCAATGACTCCTTGCAATGACTCCTTGCAATGACTCCTTGAAACAAGCAAGGAGTCAAGTGCAAGTTGCAAGTGCAAGGAGTCAAGTGCAATTGACTTGCGAGGAGTTAAAATCTCTTCTTAGGGCGGCGGGGTAGTGCCGACGACACTACACGAAAATCGACCCTCTGCGGGGATCGGCGTGGTCGAGGTGCAAAAACCCATGGTTTTTTGCGATTTCTAACCTGCCGCGCGACCCTCTGCGGGGATCGGCGTGGTCGAGGTGCAAAAACCCATGGTTTTTTGCGATTTCTGCGGTGCTCGCGCGACCCTCTGCGGGGATCGGCGTGGTCGAGGTGCAAAAACCGAGGTTTTTTGCGATTTCTGCGGTGCTCGCGCGACCCTCTGCGGGGATCGGCGTGGTCGAGGTGCAAAAACCCATGGTTTTTTTTGCGATTTCTGCGGTGCTCGCGCAACCCTCTGCGGGGATCGGCGTGGTCGAGGTGCAAAAACCCATGGTTTTTTGCGATTTCCACGGTGCTCGCGCAACCCTCCGCAGGAATCGGCGTGGTGGAGGTGCAAAAACTCGAGGTTTTTGCGACTTTTGTTGTTCGAACTGGTCTCGGGAGTTGTCTCGTGGTTCGTGCGCCTGCTCCCGGAACCGGCGGGTCGCGGGTTCGATTCCTCCCTGGTCCGCGGGCGGGCGTCGCAAGATGCAACTTGCATTTTAAAGCAACTTGCGCAGAGCAACTTGCGCAGAGCAAGTTGCACAGAGCAACTTGCGCAGACCAACTTGCACCGACCAGTTTGCGCAGAGCGCCTTGCCTAGAGCAACTTGCGCAGAGCAACTTACGCAGAGCAACTTGCACAGAGCAACTTGCACAGAGCAGCTTGCACAGAGCAACTTGCAGGGAGCGCAATTTGCACAGAGCAACTTGCAGGGAGCCACTTGCAGGGACCAACTTGCCGGAGCAACTTGCGCGGAGCAACTTGCGCAGAGCAACTTGCACAGTGCAACTTGCGTAGAGCAACTTGCGCAGACCAACTTGCACCGACCAGTTTGCGCAGAGCACCTTGCCTGGTGCTGTCTCGCGCTTGCTTCACGAATGCTTCGTGTAGGGAAAAAGAACGCATCCTGCAGCGTTGGGCCGACCTCGCTTGCGATGTTCTGCTTTCGGGCCAACCGTGGTCTAGTTTTTTGGGGGGAGGCCATTAAATTATGAAGCGTAATCTGACAAGGTCAATCATTACTGCAGAGTTGGGCGAAGAAACGAGATACCAGTCCCTATGGGTGACTTTATCGGGAAACCAAACGACGTTATATTGCCTTGGGATCAGCCATCAATGTTTGGAGCAGTCAAGTTGGTCATGGATGGTCTCAATGCAGCCCTTGAGCAAGCTCCGCTGGCTCGAGGCATTAAACCCGGCAGATTTTGACGGGGTGTTCCGCCCCCAGGCGAAGGATGATTTCATGGGACAGCCCGGTTAGAAGTGACATAATCGGAGACTAGATCCTGGGAGCTTATCCCCGTGTGCCCATCAGTTCAAGCCGGTGAGCAGTTACCCCCCCGTCCCCCCCGCCCGGAAGAGAGAAAAAGAAGCTGGTGTGTGTGTGTGTGTGTGCGCGCTATGTTTTGGCGCTCCCTTCAGGGGCTGGTTCAAAGAGAAACGAAGGAACATACACCATGTTTTTTGTTTGTTGAGGTTATCCCTTTTCACCTTGGTTTGAAGGAATGCCAACAGGAACACATCCGTGCCTTGGTACATATCCATCACACAGTAATTATTGATATTTTGTGAATCACATCGCGGCTACTTGTAACAATATTTGACTTGAACCACAAAATGCCCATGAAGGTTCATGGGCGACTGTTGCTCCTCATGTGCATATTTTGGGTTCAACATAGCCCATGTTGTTTCATTTTTTCCAACAGAGGATGGATGCTGGATGCTCCCTGCAGATAAACACGGAATCCTTTGAAACCACCTTTTCTAGAGGCATCTTCTTTTGAGGGACACCCTTTTGGCTCCCTGCCAAAGCTGAATCTGAAGCTAGGCAGTTCCCTGACTTCCTCACGCCAGAGCAGAAGGCGAGCTGCCGGAATCGCGTCCCAGGATTTCTTTCGTAGGGGTTCTGGGGTATGGGTCTGTGTTGTTTTTGATGGTACCCTTTTTGTGGTGAAAGGGAAACCAAAAGGAAGCCACCCAGTTTTGGGTGAGTCCAACCTTAAAAAGACACACCGGTATACACACCGGTATGCTGAAAAGGTACGCTGGACAGTTCTTGGGTTTGTTTGGCCGTTCTGATGCGTCCATGCAATTAGTCTCCGACCGTTGCCATGGAACCCTTGAGTGCTCTTGCGAGGCAGGTTCCAAGTTAGGAGGGGTATTTGAATTACAGACTGGCCTTCCTGAGCCCCAGATGAGATTGTTCGGCTGTTTTGACGAGTCGCAAGCTGGCAATGGTCAGAGTCTGTTGAGTCTGTCCAAGGGCCTTCCTCAGCCTCCAATGGACAAGGATTAGGACCTCCAATCCACGAGTGCTAGGCAGCTAGACGGAACCTTGGTGCAGCCTCCTTGTCGAAGCACCTCGCGCGTCTTCGGCCTCGGTTCGGTTTAGCAGGAGGAGGACATCCTCTCGCAGCTGGGGGAGTTGGCAAAGAGCGGCAAGGCGAATCCAGGGTCGGTCGCCACATGGAATACACAGAGTGGCCCAGCACGAAAACCCCCGGAAATCTGACAGGCAGTGAGTTTTCGGGGATGTACCAAACATACCTGTGGGCTGTCCACAGTTCGAAAACAAAAGATGGGGCTCTGACTTCCAGACCGAGTGCAAAGCAACCCGACCTGCTGGCTGAGTTTTGCTGCTTGAGCAAGGATGTCTAGGGCCCTAAGGGATACGATGCTACTCTTGCGCCTGGGTCTTCGAAACAACTTTGATGATACCTGTTTTTTTTTTGTTTGAGCTTTGGCACCCATAGGTTCCACTGACGCTGAATACTCAGCCACATGTAAGCTTGAGACCAAACTGGGCTTTAGTTTTCCGTTGGTTCCCTCCAAAACATCCAAGAACAGCGCGCCCAACTGCCGAAGCTTCTTGAAGCCCTTCAACCATTGCTACAGCTACAGTGTTCTGGGCAAGCTCCACCTTGCAAAGGTGCGCCAAAAAAATCGCCGGGAGCACATTCATGAGTCCATGAGTCCTTTGGGTACCACAAAGGGTACGTGTTTGGTTGTGTTTGAAGGAAGCCCAAGGGAAAACCCAACGCCGAGTTTGCATGCTTGCTTTGTTTGGATCAAAACCACATTTTGGTGGGCTATTTTGGAGGGAAGCTGAAGACCATGTTGGCGCATCCATATCTGGTTGTCGGCTCGACCCATCTCACATTTGCTGCATTGTGCGAGGCCAACATTATCAAGTTGCCGAACGTCAGCGCCTCCATTCCGCAGTTGAAGGACTGATCTAGAAGGGGAACCACCCCTGATCAGCCTGTTCCTCCGGCGTAGTCCGAGGTTGACATTACCGAGGATCACATTGGTGCATTATTGAGCGTCCGGATTCACACGTGTGTTCGTCAGACCTCACACTCACGACCTGCTCGGCAACTTTGTTTGTTCGTTCTAATCTGTTTTGCTCATTTTAATGTGTGTGTGTGTGTTTTGTTTGTGTGATTGATCTAACTTGGTTGTTTCGTTTTGTTTGTTTTGTCTTTCTTTCTTGGCTGGCTGGTTGGATGGCTGAAATGTTTGCTGGTTCGCTCTCTTGTTTGGTCATTCGTTTGTTCATTTGTAGTTTGTTTGTTTTGTCTTCTTTTGTTTGTTTGCTTGTCTTGCTTGCTTGCTTTCTTGCCTGCTTGCTTGCTTGCTTGCTTGCTTGCTTGTTTGCTTCTTTGCTTCTTTGTTTTTTTTTGTTGTTGTTGTTGTTGTTGTTTTGTTTATTTGTTTGCTTCCTTGTTCGCTTGCTTGCTCGCGTGCTTGCTCGCTTGCTTCTTTTGTTTGTTTGTTTGTTTGCTTGGTTGCTTGTTTGGTTGGCTTGTTTCGTTTCTTGTCTTCACTGTGTCCAGTTGTGGGGTGCCGGTTTTTGTGTCTGTGTTGCCTGAATCATGTTGACTTATCTAAGCCTTGGGCCGGGCGTTGTGCTTGCCGCTTCAGGAGTGCATTGCGGAATTGCAGGCGAAGGGCTACAAGGCCCGGACTTGTCGACGTCTCCCTGCCACTGAAACGGTGGGTTTGTCTAGTGTCCTATGCTTTCCATGAGAGCAACCCGCCTGGATTTGTCTTAAAATGAGGAAAACACAAAATGTATGTTTTCCCGAGGTGTCTCTTTACAACCACAACAAGGGTACTCTCAACAAAATACATATGCGTATATACATTGACTGCAAGACGAATTCCGAAACCTTGCAACGTTTTCGAGGACTCCAAACGACACTATTGGGATGCGATCCACGCTGATTGAAAGCGTCTGGTCAGGGGTGCCCAATTGCAACACGTCCATGATGCGCCTGTCATCTTGGAGGAAACCACGTAGTGCCTAGTGCCCCTTTGGTGCATGCTGCCAGAACATGATCTCATGCACTTTGGCCCCTTTAGGTTGTTGTCCCCGCTTGATGTATCTCGGCGCAGAAACTTGCTGGTTCTCAGCAGGGAATGAGTTGGAATGACCCCGAACAAAGCCATCTCCTATGAGGGTCATTCCCTACCAATCGCACCAGCAAGGAAAGTATACTGAACGTCTTGCGTCCAGAAATCTCGGGTTTGCATCGGAAGCTATGCCGAGGAGGAATATAAAATCAGCAAAGGCAAAAAGACACGTCTCAACCGAGTAGCGTTGGGGGTAGGTGGAAGTTAGATGCAGCCTCTCGTTTTCTCGACTGCTAACAGATACAGCATAGCCTTGAGTCTCTCTTGCCAGCGGGAACGGGGTCAATGTATCTTTAGTACTGCTTTGTGCTCCCCCCCCCCCAGTGCTGTTTAGAATCGGTAGAGAATAGGGGGTAGATTATGGGTTCGGTACTGCTTTGTGGCCCGCTCTATTTAGAATTGGCTCAGGTAGTGAGTAGTTCCGGGGTGCCAGCTTGCTAAGATTTCGTTGCATAAGCAAAGGAGGGAAGAATAAGCAGGATCCATCAAAGTGACCATTTCAAATTTGAGGGGTCCTCAAAAATGTGTTTGTGTTGGGCATGTTCTATTGAAGCAACCACTTAGAGGGTTTTATGCACCCAAATGAACGACGAAGTTTAGAGTATGTTCAGGTTTTCTACCCGTTCTACCCCGAACGTCATCTTCAGTTCAAGCGGGGACTCCAGATTCCACAACATTGCGCCGTGCTTTCAATATGTTCTGGGAGTCAGCACACAGGTTTCCACATTTGTTGTACAGTCAGTCTGGGCTATTGCCGAGGTTACGCCTGCAAGAGCCTCAATTCTTGCGAGGGTCAAAGACTGCCATCATTCCTTCAGGCCTGCGAAAGACGTTCTTGCCAAAAAGGCTGCGACTCATTCCTGCTCTCTGCAGTATTTGGTCCTGGTTATTTCCTGCGGAGTACCCTTCTCTTTCTTTAAGTGTTCCGCCCATTGTTGGTGCGCCATTTGCCACTTTTGGTGCTCTCTTTCAGCACTCGGCTCGCAGATTCCCAACTACCCGGAAGACCCGAAAGATGACAAGGAGAAGGACATCAAGGCGTGCCTGCCTCGCACGCCGCGCGCGTGCGCCGCTCGCTGGCGGGGCTTTCTTTCCTGTGCCCAAGGTTTTGCTGGGCTTCCCAAAGCGATCCCCGCCCTTGCGAATAATTTTCGGACCCCTGCCGTGCATTTTCCTGTTGGCACAACGGCGTTGGAAGGGGGGCCCTTGCATGTTTTTTTTGGTGACAGCACATGGACATGTTCGACCAGATGCCAAACAGCCCCCCAAAAGGCTCGTCATCTGTGATAACTTAGACAGCGGGTTGTAGGAGTGCTGCGGTTCCTTGTTGGCTCTTTGGCAACCAGTCAGGAGTGAGTTCTTTCAGTCGCCCAGCTTCAGCTGCTAGCCAGCTGCTGTGGTTTTGAAAGATCTTAGGCCATTTTTTTCTCTTTGCCCCTTGGTGTCTTTCTTGCTTTCTTTCAGCTTATGCCAGAACATGCAAGAATGGTTGAGCTCGCAACACCAACTACCATGATCACAACTTTTAGCAGATTGGGGTTCTAAGAAGGGTTCGGATGCCAGTCCGGTAGGGGGTCCCTTTCTGATGAGCCTTCTTTAAGTAAGCCACGCGCAAGCCACGCGCAGGCGCGCTACGCCAAAGTCTTGGGCAGCGCTGTGAACCCGGTGCTCCGGGAGGGCAACTCCGACCGCCGCGCGGCGGTGCCCGTCAAAGAGCAACTCGGTTGGAAGACATGGCGGGTTTGCTTTGGGTCTGTTTTTGAGGGTCGCTCCAGAATCATGGAAGCTTTCTTTGAAGACTACTTCTTTCTTCTTTCTGGTTTTTTGGACATGAACCACCCATCTAAATGATGTCCACCACAGGGTACCAAATTAGAAATTATGGCCATATGGGTCTGTGTTTTATGATGTACCTATTGGGGGATGCTAAAAAATAGGAAACTGATTGGACCCCCGCAATTCTGGGTATGTTGCTCGAAGATGGGATCGGTCCTCCGAAAAGGCGTGGTGTCACTTCGGCTTCTTAAAACATACCAACCACATCCAACAGTTTGAGAATCTTTCAAAAGCTAGACCTGAAACGTGGGCGGATACAAACCCCCACCCAAAATGACCCCAAATGACGTCCCTGCGATGCAGGTCCCAAGCCTTTCCCCGATGGGTTTGTCCCCGAAATGGCGGGGGTTCCTTTTGGTTTCCCTTGAGACCAGTTTTTTTTTCCACAGGGCGCCCGCCAAAAAAACGACGACAACCCCCCAGAGTGCGCCAAGGGCGGTGCACAAATGTCTGAGTTTGAAAACAAAGCTGGGGCCTTTTTTCCTCGCTGGGGCTCTAAAACTCAGCTCCCATTTCGGGCTCCTTGGTCCAGTTGTTCTCCACAAAAAGCAGGCTCCGCAAAGAATGGGTTCCGAGTTCGACTTGCCCTTACTGGTTTCGAGCGACAGGTCTAGGGTTCCGGTTTTGATGCACCCCAAGGAAGACTTCAACCTATTTTGCAGACATCGACAACCTGTGAGGTTAAGTCTAGCTTTAGTGAGGAAATGGAACCCTGGGCAGGTTGGCTCCGGTCAACCTGTCCAGAAGTCCGGGGATACAGCTCAGGGGACTCCCTAAATTTCCCACAAAAAGACAGAGGCCACCAGAATTTTCCCGCGTGAAATGTTTGTTTGGCAGCTCAGGTACGCCTTCAAGTACCCCCACTCCATGGGGAAGTGGCTCACTGAGTCCAAGACGCACGTCAGCTCCATGGAGGATGGGGACTTCTACTCCCACGAGAAGTCCGCCAGGATGCCGAGAGCGGAAGGGCCGTAGATTTTCCAGGAAAACCGCTTGGTTCTTCCCCCTCCAAATGTGAGAGCAACGGAGGTGGGGGCAAAAGCTGGGGTCCTTTCCAAAATGTTGTCATATTTTCTGGGAAGCTAAATGGGAGACTAAATATGAAGCAGAATCTCAACATATCATGTTTACAAAGAACCTGCCCCCGGATCCCTCAAAGAAACCAAAAGGAGTTTTGTTTGAAGAGTTTTAAAGGGTTGGCTCAAAAGATCTGGAAGGTCTTAACTAGTGGTAACTCAGGATTCTTCCTTGTAATCCAGGGCCAATCAAGTCAAAATTTGTCAAAGAGTAGCCAGTGAATTCCAAAGGTTTCTCGTTGGTTTCCCCGTTGAAAGAAGCGCAAACCCCCCAGAAATCGACAGCCATGTTGTATGGGACGTCTCCATGGTCGAATCCTTTCTCCTGTTCCCACGGCAAAATCGTGGACCCCCCAAATGGTGGGTTTCCTTTTGGTGCCCCTTTTCACCAGCCTGAAAAGGGCACCCCCAATGCAAAAACCGACATGGAAGATTCCTGAGGATGAACTGGAACCATCATGTTTCAGCCATGTGGCTTCATGCCAAAGTCATCTCAATATTAAGCTTGATTGTGGTGCACAGGTTTTGCAGCATGCAATTGCAGTGCCTGAAAAGAGCGGTATGGCCCACGTTCCTCGTGAAACTGGTATGCGAGCAACGGACAAAATTCTCAGGGAATCCGCTTCGCTTTGGTCGGTCTGCAGGCGGCTGGATATCGTGGGTCGATCCCTCATTCGCTTTGTTCTGGCGTGTCGTTCAACTAGGGACTCCAGATGCCAAGTTTCCAGTTAGTTCCCCTTTTCGCCCTTAACTTGCTGATGCTCAGTAGGGAATGACCCATTCCGGGTGTTGGGAATGAACCGGAAGGGGATTTTCTTAAAGGACACCATAGGATGGATGATTTTTCTATCAGGTCATTCCAACTCATTCCCTGCATAAACTGAGCCAGCAAGTTCAAGACTTCCCCGGGTGTTTTGCGCCTTCCGATTCAGCGAGCTCAGGTGATCATCAAGGAGCCCTGCGAGGTACGTATCGAGCACCTCTCAGAGGCCGATCGAATCGAGCGGGGTGCGTTTCGTCCGCATGGATTGCGGGAAGGGTTTAGGGCCCAAAAAAGACTGGGGTGGGAAGGGTGGGCGAGGGCTTACTTTGGTACAGATTAGCATGAAAGCCAAAACGTGCGGGGGTGTATGCTGGAAATTTAATGTCACATCCTTTGTTTGTGGAGGTTCCTTAGATTAAGCCTTAGATGTAGAACTTACAAAATGGACGTGGGGGTCCACTAGTCTTTCCCTGAATTTTGCTAAAACATTCGATTTGGGTATGTATTTTTGGAGGGTACTCTTCGTGGGGTGGCGTTTTTGCACGGAAACCACAGGGACAACCGACGTGTTTGAGGGGCTCCCCTGTAACACACGCCTTCAGTTTTCCGAGGCTGGGGTCCCTTTTGGGTCCCAGTTCGACTCCGACACCCCAGCAAATCACGTGCCAGAGGGCCTCAAGTAGGAAGACAAAGCAAAGACCACTCGCCGCTCCAAAAAACTGGCTTTCCTTTTGGTTTCCCGGCCAAAACACCACAAAAGGGCTACCAGCTCCCAAAAAAGGGCAGACCCACATGTTGGCTTGGCCTTCAAGGCCATTTTTCTTTCAACAAGTTTGCGCATGGTCGATTGGTCGTACTTGGTGGGTTGGTGGGTTGGTCGGTTGGTGGGTTGGTTCTACGAGTGGAAGTACATACCCCTTGTTCACACCCCTTGGCTTCTCTGGTTTCCAACCCACTTTATAAGGGGTATCCCCTTTTGGGGAGAGGGGTACGCACATCAGGCCTCTTTGGGGTTCATTTGAGGGATGTTTAATTGGGGTAACAGTTGCACCCCTGGACTGGTGGGTTGGTTGTGAATTGTTTCGCTTGGATCGACTTGATCCTTGGCCAGGAAGGCAAGGTCACGGTGCTGAAGGATAAGCTGTCGCTGCAGAAGGACGAGGCCAGGGCCCGCTGAAGAGTCGGTGGTTTTGCTCGGGTTTATGCGGGCTTGTCTGTTTTGGTGGGAACCCTTTTTGGGGTTGGTTTAAAGGGACACCAAAAGGAACCAGCCTTTTTTAGGGGTCTCCTGCTTTAGGATAATCCCATATGGTCATGCATTTAAGAGTTGAAGGTTGCATGGTCCAGAGGGGTGAACGTAGAGGCCACACAAAGCTTTATAAGCAGAGATATGTTTTCAGAAGTTCCAATATTTCCAATTGGATGTTGTCTTTGGTTTGTATGTTTGCAGCATATGTCTTTAAATTTGCAGATTCTCATTTGTTTTTGCAAATCAAGACATAGATACTACGCCAGTCTTGGTGGGCAAAGTCGATCGCGCCCTGACAGGGAAGTTTCGCGAGAAACACTTGATGACAATTCATTGCTTGGGGATTCCTTACCCTCCCCCAAGCGATTCCACCGAAACTCCAGAACGAACCCCTTTGGAAGAGTGGACCGGTTCCATTAACAGTGGCCAATTGGGGGAGCTTCCGGCTGTTAGTTTGAGGGAGTGTATTTCAGGTGGTCAAAGTACGGCAATTGCCCAGACTGTTAGCTTTCAGAGGGCATTGAGCCACAACCAGGGATCCGTACCAATTTTCCGTGCGCTCTGAGAGATAGGCGGACTTGGCTTTCCTGATAGGGCCTTTTGGTGATCGAGCACCATTCCACGATCTCAATTCGAGAATGGTGCCGTATGGACAGGCAGAATGCTTTTCGCACACCGGCCTGTAACTGGTGTTAGCCAAAATCATAGGTCAAGTTTCCCGGTTGAAACTTTGGCAGGTCAGATGGCCGGCTGTTTGAGAGAAACAAGACTAAAGACCTCAGTCTGCTCGTTTAAGACCAATTCAGTGGGTTGGCGTTTCTAACCCACAATGGGTTGTAGTCCAGCTAGTCAAACGAGCCTTTGATTCATGGGGCTGATTTGTTTTATTTGTTCCGTGGGCGGTGAACACGGGTGTGTCTTTAAGGTTGGACCCCCCAAACAACAATATATACATATATATAGAATTATATATGTATTTAGATAGATGGTCGGCTTCCGCACGGTTGCCTGTTAAACTCGCTCTGAAAGATGGTACCCTCAAAAAAGGACAGACCCAAATCAACATGCAGAATCATGACGGACAACGCAAATACCTGAGTATCAGTTTTTGGGTCGTTCTGGTGGTCCCCTCTGGGTTTCTGGCAATATGGTTTGCTCTCACGGGTCTCTTGTTTATTTTAGGGTCCCCCTGTTTTTGTGGTTTTCAAGACCAAAGGGACAACCGCCATTTGCGGGGTCCCCGAAAAAAGACGAGCCGCCCACACGGAGAAGTTTGGCCCTAAGGTGCTGGACGCGTCCTTCATGAATTGCAAGATGCTGCGCAGCTTCTACGAGGAGCAGATTGCGGACGCCAAGGCGCGGCTGAGGGACAGCCTTGAACCATGGCGACCGTGGTTCAGTTACTCGCCCTGACTGACATGAGCAACAGTCAATAGCAGGTTTATCATCTACTGCAGTAAAGGGGATGACATTGGGTGCACCCACTTGCCATTGGGAACTTGGCGCCCACTCACCAACTGCACATGTCAAAGGGGGGCACAACGAATAGTGATAGTGGCTCAGATGGGTTCCCCAGTCTCGCTCCCTGAGTTCCTGGACTTCATGCCTCTTACTTTTGGCGGCAAAAGTCTGAGCCCTCAAGAGGAATCTCTTTGGGAACATATTTTTGGATCCCACATGAAACCTCGCAGAGGAGGGTTCTGTTCGCCAGGGTACTGCAAGTGCGGTAGCAAGAGCAATAGTACCACCCGCTCTTTGTAAAGAGAGTCAAGCCCTTCCCACCGCAGGGTGCGGGGAATATATGCAAGTTCCTGCCTACAATGCAAAGGAGATGTACAAAACTGTACGGCCAGCCCCTGAGGTTTGCCTGCGCCCCAAAGCAACGCCCCAACGCCCGAAACTAGAGACCCATTCCGCCTGTTACCACGTGCTCGAATTAGTCATAGCCAAGAGCAGAAACGGCGGCTGCTTAATGTGCGGCTCGAACAAAACTAGCCGATACTTCTTGAGAGCTTCTAACACATGCGCTAGTAGCTTGCCTGCAGAGGGTCACGTAGTTAACCTAGAAAACTCAACGCCTGAACCTAAACCCCAAAAACCTACACCCCAAACCTAAACCCTAAACCTACTCCCTAAACTTGAACCCTAAACCTGAACTCTAAACCGAAACCCCAAACCTGCACCCGAAAGCTGAACCCTAAACTTGAGCCCTAAACCAAAACCCTAAGCCTAAGCCCTAAACCTAATCCCTAAACCTGCGCCCTAAACCTAAGCCCTAAACCTAAGCCCTAAACCTAAACCCCAAACTTAAACTCAAAGCCCCAAATCCAAGCCCTGAAGCTGAACCCTAAACCAAAACGCTGGGCAGGACAAGGGTGTATTCGGGGGTTGACGGCAACCCACGGGGGCTGTGGGAAAGTAGTATTGTCTTCGGGGATGGTTCAATTTATTGCGCCAACCATGGGGCCATGTTGCCCTGGATACTACCGCAAAGCTGAATCGGACATCAATGAAAGCGTGTTTGATACCTAGATGCTTTCTTTCCAGCCTCAAGCATTGAAAAAGCCCGCTAAGAAAGAAACTCTTGAGTCTGAACAGTGGACCTGCATCAACCAGGCCAGATGTTGCCGCGAATGGATACCTGACATGTGCGCAGTTTGTGGCCGCGGTATGTGGCGAGAGGATTGATCACTTGGTCGATGACTCGATGACACCAGCCTAGCCACATCCTGTCAGCATATTCACACGTGCGTACTCTAGATGGGTTTGTCTCTAAATGAGGGATCCCCCCCGAAGTCGTGTGGTCTACCTTCGGTTTCCGTTTGAAACACGAGGACCCTTACGCAAAAACATGGTGGACATGGCTTCCCAGCTACATGATGTCCACCAATGGGCCGCTAATCAAAGTTCATGTGAACAAAAGACCTAAGCAGTTATGCCACATTGGCCCATGGCATGCTCAATGCTTATCTTTTCTTACTTAAAGTGATCCACTCCTTTTGGGTTGCAAGGGTTGACGGTTTGAAACTCGAAGCCAGGATTGAGCAGGGGTTGCCCGCCAAATCATCCGGGGTTGACGTAGGGAACCCCAAGCGAAGCCAGCCTATTACTCTGTAGTCGACTGTTTATATTGGGGAGGACTTGGGGGCGGGGGGGAACCCAAATTCCCCCAACCAAGGGGCCTCAGTTTGTCCCAGGAGCGTGGGGTGCTCTTCTCACTGCACCTCAAGGCTACCATGATGAAGGCCGGGCCCTTTTTGGGCCTCCGGTCCGAGCTTCATTTGGGTCGGCAAAACTTGTGCCGCCATTTAAAGCAGATCATAAACAGGAACCGATTTTTGCTACCCCAATGTGTCTGTATTCAGGGAGGGGTCTATGCGGGTACCCTCACTCTTTCATGGGGCATAGGTCCATGGGCAGATTCTCTCTGGTTTTGGCTTGCTTGTTTCATGCCATGTGGATTTCATGCTAATTTTATCAGAAGTATTTCGGGGTTAAACGAGCTCCCCCGCGAAGGTGGGTAGATAGCACAGACATGTCTTGGGGAAATACTGTCCATACATGGTAGAAACACAAGCATGTAGACAGTACAGTACAGCTAGAAGAAAACTATTCCATGTTCGCCATTGGTAAAAGGACAATCAGCTAAACCCAATGGGCAAACGAAGCCGGTTTGCCTTACGAATGGCTGGGCCTGTTTGTAAGAGTGCGGTGAGTCAGAGACGAAATCGAACCCGTTTGCCGGGATAGAAACTACGGCTCTGATGGCTTTGATGGCTGGACAGGCTTAATCCGACGATCAGAACCCAATTGAAGGTTGCTTCCTGAGCTTTTCTGGGGCAAAGCTGATTGCAGAATGTCAAGTGTTGTGATTTCCGGGAGGTCTTAGCTTTGCAATGCGTGTATGCCACCAACGAAGTCTCGGTTCCGTGTCAGCCGGAGGCATGGGAGGGGAAGGGGAAGGGGAAGGGGAAGGGGAGGGGGAGGGGAAGGGGAAGGGGAAGGGGAATGGGAAGGGGAAGGGGAAGGGGAAGGGGAGCGGGGAGGGGAGGGGAGGGAGGGGAGGGAGGGGAGGGGAGGGGAGGGGAGCGGGGGAGGGAGGGAGGGAGGGAGGGAGGGGAGGGAGGGGAGGGAGGGGAGGGAGGGGAGGGAGGGAGGGAGGGAGGGAGGGAGGGGAGGGAGGGGAGGGAGGGAGGGAGGGGGGGAGGGAGGGAGGGGGGGGAGGGAGGGGAGGGGGGGGGGGGGGGGAGGGGGGGAGGGAGGGAGGGAGGGAGGGAGGGGAGGGAGGGGAGGGAGGGGAGGGAGGGGAGGGAGGGGAGGGGAAGGGAGACAGACAGACAGACAGACAGACAGACAGACAGACAGACAGACAGGGAGGGAGAGAGGGAGAGAGGGAGGGAGGGTACCACTCCATCAATGTTGCCGAAAGAAAACCGAGGCCAGTCACCTCTCCACCCCTCCGTCGGGAAAACGTCGCGCAGGTGTCGGACCCCATCATGTTCGGGCACTGCGTGAAGGCCTTCTTCAAGGACCAAGACGCAGATTTGATGTGGAAAAATTGGGGGGGGGGGGGGGGACCCCTGAACAAAAATGTGTTTGCGCTGTGGTTTCCCCCGAACCCAAGGTGAAAAGTGTACCCTGAAAAAACAATCCAATTCAGAATGAAGGGGCCACAAACACGGCAACTTTGAGCTATGTCCGGACCATACGAATCTGGGCCGAATCGATTTCTCAGACCTCTGGGGCTCTCTCTTGTCAAGGATAGCCAGACCAAATTACCTCATAGTCATGGGGAATGGTTCTAATTATTTACACTCCCTGAGACTAATTGCCGGAAGCTCCCCCAATTGGCCTCTGTAAATGGAACCTGTTGTCTTCCAAAGGGGTCTGTTCGGGAGCTTCCATGGAATCGTCTGGGGGAGGGTAGCCCCTGAGGTGCGTCAAAAGCAAACATGGGACCTCTATCCACGCCTGGCTCCACGGTTTCCCATGGACCCTCATGAAGACCTAAGCCAGCCAAAACCCCCCTAACTGCAACGCCCAACTGCCACCCAATCAGAATTAGGCAACCCCAGGTCCAAGTGATGTTGGTTATGCCGGGGATGCGGCCAGCCAGCCAACCAACCAACCAACCAACCAACCAACCCACCAATCACAGCCAGGGTTAGGAAAAAACCAGGGCTAGAAATTAAAGGGCCGGATAACCCCACAAGTCTATGCTTATGGAAGTATGCGACACTTGCATCTGCCGAGCAGCGAATAATCCCAAATCCGAGACATGCAAAGACCCTCACATGCAAAACCTTCACGCAGTCAGCTATGTCGAGAACTCTCAGCACTTTGTTTTTCGCTCTGGCAGATCGTGGCATCGCCAATGGCATATGTCAGCGGCATATGTTTAACATATGGCTTGAAGTGCCAACGCGTCAGGCGCAGCATGTATCTGCCAGCCTGGCCCCATGCATCCTGCGCTGTAAGGCGCTAAGTACTTCAAGACGAAAGCCTTCCAAGAGCGGAACCCCATTTCTGCGGGCTTCTTTGCATTGCAGCTGGTTCTACAAGCGTATATAGGTCGCTCCCGCGACCGCAGATGCAAGCAAATTCCAAATCATCCACGCGTCCGAATCTTTCGATTGGGGTGTCCTGAAGTGCGGCTCGATGATGTGTTCTGGCACGGCTGCAAATGCTGCCATTTAGACAGCTGCCAAACGCTGCCCCTGCCAAGCAAACACACGCTCAGATGCACAGAATGCTGCGCCTGCCACGACTTCGGCAACGGCATCTCCAAAGTGCTGCGCCTGCCACGATTTCGCGTGCCCCGAGCCGCGCGCGCGACAACATCCCATCCCTTTAGACAGCTGCCAAATGCTGCCCCTGCCAAGCAAACACACGCTCAGATGCACAAAATGCTGCGCCTGCCACGACTTCGGCAATGGCATCTCCAAAGTGCTGCGCCTGCCACGATTTCGCGCGCCCCGAGCCGCGCGCGCGACAACATCCCAGCCCTTTAGACAGCTGCCAAATGCTGCCCCTGCCACGCAAACACACACTCAGATGCACAGAATGCTGCGCCTGCCACGACTTCGGCAATGGCATCTCCAAAGTGCTGCGCCTGCCACGATTTCGCGCGCCCCGAGCCGCGCGCGCGACAACATCCCATCCCTTTAGACAGCTGCCAAATGCTGCCCCTGCCACGCAAACACACGCTCAGATGCACAGAATGCTGCGCCTGCCACGACTTCGGCAATGGCATCTCCAAAGTGCTGCGCCTGCCACGATTTCGCGAGCCCCGAGCCGCGCGCGCGACAACACCCAGCCCTTTAAACAGCTGCTGCCCCTGTGAGTGAGTGAGTGTGAGTGAGTGTGAGTGAGTGAGTGTGTGTGTGAGTGAGTGTGTGTGAGTGAGTGTGTGTGAGTGACACCTGCCAAATGCTGCCCCTGCCACGCAAACACACGCTCAGATGCACAGAATGCTGCGCCTGCCTTGACTTTGGCAACGGCATCTCCAAAGTGCTGCGCCTGCCACGATTTCGCGAGCCCCGAGCCGCGCGCGCGACAACACCCCAGCCCTTTAAACAGCTCCCAAATGCTGCCCCTGTGAGTGAGTGAGTGAGTGTGAGTGAGTGTGAGTGAGTGAGTGTGTGTGAGTGAGTGTGTGTGAGTGAGTGTGTGTGAGTGACACCTGCCAAATGCTGCCCCTGCCACGCAAACACACGCTCAGATGCACAGAATGCTGCGCCTGCCACGACTTCGGCAACGGCATCTCCAAAGTGCTGCGCCTGCCACGATTTCGCGAGCCCCGAGCCGCGCGCGCGACAACACCCCAGCCCTTTAAACAGCTCCCAAATGCTGCCCCTGTGAGTGAGTGAGTGAGTGAGTGAGTGAGTGAGTGAGTGAGTGAGTGAGTGAGTGAGTGAGTGTGTGTGAGTGAGTTGGTGTGAGTGACACTGCCAAATGCTGCCCCTGCCACGCAAACACACGCTCAGATGCAAGAATGCTGCGCTGCCACGACTTCGGCAACGGCATCTCCAAAGACGCCTGCCACGATTTCGCGAGCCCCGAGCCGCGCGCGCGACAACACTCCCAGCCCTTAAACAGCTCCAAATGCCCTGCGTGAGTGAGTGAGTGTGTGAGTGAGTGTGAGTGAGTGAGTGTGTGTGAGTGTGTGTGTGAGTGTGTGTGTGAGTCACACCTGCCAAATGCTGCCCCTGCCACGCAAACACACGCTCAGATGCACAGAATGCTGCGCCTGCCACGACTTCGGCAACGGCATCTCCAAAGTGCTGCGCCTGCCACGATTTCGCGAGCCCCGAGCCGCGCGCGCGACAACACCCCAGCCCTTTAAACAGCTCCCAAATGCTGCCCCTGTGAGTGAGTGAGTGAGTGAGTGTGAGTGAGTGTGAGTGAGTGAGTGTGTGTGAGTGAGTGTGTGTGAGTGAGTGTGTGTGAGTGACACCTGCCAAATGCTGCCCCTGCCACGCAAACACACGCTCAGATGCACAGAATGCTGCGCCTGCCACGACTTCGCTGCCCCTGCCACGCAAACACACGCTCAGATGCACAGAATGCTGCGCCTGCCACGACTTCGGCAACGGCATCTCCAAAGTGCTGCGCCTGCCACGATTTCGCGAGCCCCGAGCCGCGCGCGCGACAACACCCCAGCCCTTTAAACAGCTCCCAAATGCTGCCCCTGTGAGTGAGTGAGTGAGTGTGAGTGAGTGTGAGTGAGTGAGTGTGTGTGTGTGAGTGAGTGTGTGTGAGTGAGTGTGTGTGAGTGACACCTGCCAAATGCTGCCCCTGCCACGCAAACACACACGCTCAGATGCACAGAATGCTGCGCCTGCCACGACTTCGGCAACGGCATCTCCAAAGTGCTGCGCCTGCCACGATTCGCGCGCCCCGAGCCGCGCGCGCGCGACAACACCCCAGCCCTTTAAACAGCTCCCAAATGCTGCCCCTGTGAGTGAGTGAGTGAGTGAGTGTGTGTGAGTGAGTGTGAGTGAGTGTGTGTGAGTGAGTGAGTGTGTGTGACTGAGTGTGTGTGAGTGAGTGTGTGTGAGTGAGTGACTTTGTGCGGGTGAGTGAGTGAGTGAGTGTGAGTGAGTGAGTGAGTGAGTGAGTGTGTGTGAGTGAGTGTGTGTGAGTGAGTGTGTGTGAGTGAGTGTGAGACAGTGAGTGTGAGTGAGTGGGCGGCGGGGGCGGCGGGGCGGGCGGCGGACGGCGGGGCCGGACGGCGGACGGCGGGCGGCGGGCGCGGAGCGGTAAAAGTAAGAACACCACACAAAGATGTGGGGGAAAAAAAACACCTCCACCGTTTCCCATGGGCAGAAACACTTCCATGGCTTCGATGTGGGCCAGGTACTAGGTACCATCAAGTGCCATGTTGAGGGAAGTCTTGTGGTATATTGGGGTTCTCTCAAAATAGGGGAACCCCCCAAATTGTGGTTTTCCTATTGGCCCCGAAACCGTATACCGACAGACCCTATATTCCCGCATGCCGTCCTGTGTTTTAGCCAGGCCGAGTCTGACGTCCTGCGGGTCGTTACGAGGTACCTGTGGTCTATTTAGCCTTAGGCGTGAGGGTCGTAAATTGATTACCTCGAACGTGGTTTACTTGGTTGTTGGCTACCAAACCTCAGCACAAGTATCAGGATGCTCCGCACTAGCCATGTTCTCCGTCGTTGGGTACTAGGTACGCACATGGCAACTGGCCTTCTTTCATTGAAACTACTTCCAGTGACCGTGATCCGCGCGTGTATCTCAAAGTGCTGTTGCACTGGAACCCGTGAATCTGAGCTTGGGCCAACTGTAGCAGACCCTTGTCGATGCACTCAGCAGTACCTGAAGGACGTCTTCGCAAAGTATGCTGACACCTTCGAAAAGCTGGGTGTGAACGCCAACAACGGGTTGGGCCCCTTTGCTCCAAGCAGTGTTTGTGGAATGCATCGAAGCCAAAGCTAGTGCCTTCACAGGGTGCCTCAATTCGAGGCATCGTTTGCAGGTTGCAGACTTGGCGCTGCACTTGTGCCATTCATCGTGGGTTCTATGCCCGTTTTTGGACGGTTGAAACATCACATCGTTGCGGCATGCGGACCCCCTACTAAACTTCTCAATTCTCGGGCCCAAGTTGAACATCATCGAACTGGAAGCTACAGTTATGTGCCAAAGAGCAACCTGACGGAACTTGCAACCTCATGCAATGATGGTGCCTAGGGATGTCTTTTGCAGGTGTGTGTGAATTAGGGATTTGCCCGGGACCGAGTTTGTGTTTCTGTTTTGTGTCAGTGATTTGAGAAGATGGCAGATTTGGAAGGCCAGGGTGAGGTTGGCTACGAGATGCACCTGAATTTCCCCCATGCCAATTTTCAGTGGTCCCTATCCTGCAATGAAGTGGAGTCCTGACAGATCTCGCCGGAGTTGCTTTCCCAAGGGGCTCAATCAGCTCAAAGGGGAATTCCCTTCCGATTGTGACCAAAATCCCAGGCGACCTGTACAAGAAGATTGCGGCATTGCCGGATGCTGAGCGTCAGGCAGGAGCCCCAGGAGGTTGTGCCAAGTGCCTGTGTGGCTGGTGTGTTTGAGTCTGTGCATGTGTCTCTTTTAATTTTCCTGTTTTTTCCTCTCTCTCTCTCTCCCTCTCTCTGTCTCTCTCTCTCTCTCTCTCTCTCTCTCTTTGTATTTGTGCGCGTATGAGTACGAAACTGGAAGGTAAGGCGTTCCCACTTACATGAAGCTCAACGACAAACCAACGATCAACGCGTTTTCACATTGGAATAGAACATGGTGCACCCTCGACCCCTTTTGGAAGACGCGTTTTCCTATTGGACATTATGCACATTGGTGGGCCCCTGCACGAGTCACGGCGCTTCTCGTGGAGCTGCAGCGATGGCAGCAAAGCGTCGGATGCTGTTCCTCATCGCCAATTGTCAATACATATATATATATATATATATGAGCCCTGATATATATATATATATACACATGTACATATGCAACAAAGGCTGGATAAAGCACTGCTCAACCTCACGAAGCCTAGGTCCTGGGTGGGGGGGTCACATATGCGTATATATGTATATGTGCATGTATTTTCTAGGTTCCAGCTTTATTGCTTCCAAAGGTTTAGAGGAAGCTGACAAGTCAGGTTTCTCTGTTTGTGCGTCAGGGGCTGTGCGAGCCAACCAGGTGAGGCATGTCGAAACGAACGCTTGGGATCGGTCCACGGCTGTTTTTGGTGTTGGTTGCAAACAGTGTTGCGGGATCAAGGCGTTTATCCCCACTTCTGTGATACAAGGGAATCTCCCCCTGTATACGGGGGGTTGGACTTTGGGAAGCCCTTTTGGTTGTATCACAGAAGTGATCATTTCCCAAATAAGTGTGCAAACAACCACCCCTTGGTCCGTAAAAATGTTAATTCTTAGGGCAAACAACTGGTGGTTTAGAAGTTTAGGCAAAGACGGTTTAAAGGCGAGACAGGGAACAACCCAAAGTTGGCAGCTTAAACATTTGGGTGTGTCTTTTTTGGTACCTTTTCTGGGAGGGTTTTCAAGGGAAACAACCGAACACCCAGGATTGGTCTTTCCATTCCAAGAAAAGCACCCCGGAACTTAAAAGAAGCCCGGAAAAAAACACCCACCAATTTTGAGGGGACCCCCGGGTGTACCTTGTGGTCTCGTTAAGCCACCCAACAAAAGCCGGGGTGGCTCCGAAAAAGACGGCCCCGTATCCCCGCTCGTTTTCGAGCCCCGAGGCGATCGAGGCGGACTTGAAGGCCACCTACGAGACCCAGCCGCGCATGGCCATGGTGGATTCCCATAAGGCGCCAGCTGCCGTCTCTGAACAGTGGGTTTGGCTTCCCTTTTTTGACTTGGAACCATGTTTTGGGGTGGTTTTAAGGCAAACCAAACGGAAAACCAACCACTTGAAAGGCGGGCGGTTTCCCCGTGGTCCCTTTCAAACCCCCAAAATGGGTAAGCAACGACACACCCATATGGCTATGAATTTGAACCTCCAAAACGGCTTCCCGAGCAAAACGCAGAAAGGGGGAGCCACCTCCAAAATGGTTGGTGGACATGAGGCCCCCTAAATGATGTCCTCAAGATTGGTTGGTTCCAACCAGTGGGGAACCTCCGTAAAGGGCGAATTTTTTGGAAGGGGTGGCTGCAATTGCCCCAGACCTCCGGCCAGGTTGGGCAACCCACTTGTTACCTGTTTATCCCCCTGTTGTGCAAGCAAGCTCCTGTTGGTTTCCCTCTAGCGAAAAACCAAAGGCGTGTCACCAAGGGAGTTGGACCCAGAGAAAGCATTTCAGTTTTCCGCTTGGCTTCCCTTTCAATCAGCCTGAAAGGAAAGCCCGGGTATCCCCAGCCCTGAAACACCCACCCCACTGGAAACCTATGCTGCTCCGGACCTCAGAGGTCTGGGGCGACCCCCAGGCTTTCAATCCAAGAGCCCAAAACTTCAAATGTTCCGCCCCTCGCCATCCCGGTGGTTCAAACATCACCTTTCCGGCTGATGCGAAACTTTATTTTTTTTGTTGCAGCTGGCAGACTTGGCGGGTGCGCTGGACATCTGGAAAGTTGCTGGTTTGAGGTTGCCATTTAGAGCAGTTTGTTCAGATCTGGAGTCTGGACAGCTGCACAAAAAGGGGCCGTTCTGGACTGTTTGCCGGGTGGGGCCATTTTGCTCGTGATTGCACTGGAATCCCTTTGCAGTAAACTAGTCATGGGCATGGCCCGCGTTGGCATGACAGAAAGTGCTTGCTGGTTTGTTTGCTTGCTTTCTTGTCGGTGTGTCTTCCTTTCGTATCCTGAGTTGTGTATTTCCGCATTTCTACTACACTATTTACGTACTTATTTGCAATTGTTCTTACATTTCTAACTTGATAGTTCCTTATTTCCTGATCTTCTTGGTTTCTTGTTTCCTTCTTTCCTCATTCCCCTGCTTCCTTTGTGCCTCGTATGTGCTTCTTTCCTCTTTTTTGTTGTTGCCTCATTTCCTTATTGTCCTTATTTCCAAGTTTCCTTATTTCTTAATTCTTATTGTCCTTCTCTAGTCTTGTATATATGTATTGATTTACTTGTTTTTTGTTTTGCTTGATTGTTTATTTCTTTGCTCGTGCCTTCCCCTGCCTTCCCGTGCCTTTCCGTGCCTTTCTGCCCTGACCGAGTTTTGGTTTCTGCATAGGATTTGCCCAGAACAATCTCGCGATTGCTTGAAGAGCAAGATGCCATGCGCTTTGTCCCACGCCTCCAGATTTTGGTTTTGTTTTGACTTGTTTGGAGGAGGCTACCCCACACAGGGTGCATATTTTGCCCACAAACCCAAAGCTCGGGCTGTGACTGAGCAATGCAGGGCATCACTAACCTCCACGTGCCCAGCGATATCATCATCGACAACTCTATGCCAACCGCCATCCGTGCGGGCGGCAAGCTGCTCTCACAACCAAAAAGACGAGAGACCGCGCTCGGTGGGGTCTCCTCCAAATTTATTCCATATTTATGGCAGGCTTTTTGTGCTGTTTGACAACATAGGGTCTTGTTTGGTTCCCCTGTAAAGCCTTCCCAAAGGAGAATCCCTCAGATATGAGACAGAGTCTGAAGACATTTTTTGGTGTACATTCTGTGGCGAAGAAGCTTCCTGTGGTGCCAGCTACTTCTTTTTGTGGGGGTACCAAGGCCATTTTGAGGTGACTTTGGCTGAACATGTCACTGGTTTTAGCTTGCTGCAAATCGCTTTTAAATCTGCAGAAAGGTGCCCTTCTTTGATCTTTTTTGAACGAGGAGCCCCTTTCAAATCAGGTACCAATAAAAAGGGTGCCATTTTTCTCATGGAAACCCACCGGAGGTCTGGGGATCATTATACAAACATTAAACATACTGGGTCAAACCACCCGCTTACTTGGGGTTGGTAGTGATGGTTATAGATCGGTTTGGGAATTTCTTGCAAATGAACCATGACCATGGGTGGAACTTCGAGAAGTTTGGATTGTTATATATATGTATATATGATATATCTATAAGTCTTTCTTCAGAGCTGGCCAATTCCAAATCATGGAGGCGGATACGACAAATGCACTTCCTTGCTGGTGAATCACATGGTCAAACGAGCTCACCCACGATGAAGCTCCCTGATTTGGGGATTGATCACGTCCTGTTCGTGAATTGCTTCCCAGCAGATGAACTTTACAGACGATTAATTAATTGTGGTTGGCATGATGTGGAAAAGGAAGACATACAACTCCTTTATTTTATGATCTTCCTGGAGCTTCTTTTTTAACACAACACACACCGTCACACATGTGTTTGCTTCTACAGACATATTTCTATCAGGCTGTTCTAAAAGGGAGCCACAGAGGAGCCAAACTCAAAAGCTGAGGATGTGGGACGCGGATGACACCGAACAGGACTTCAAGGCGTCACAGACTGGCAAGCCGTACGGGTGCGTGTGTCTGTGCTTCTGTGTTCCAAGGGCACCAGTGTTTGGGGGCGTTGGTTCAAAGGGAAACAGGGTAACAAGCAGAGGGAAGCCAAAGACGAAACAGCCTTTTTGGGGGTTTTCCTATTCTGACAGAAACCCATAGCTTACCTGAGGCAGACTTTAAGTTTTGGCAGTTCGTCTTAGTCAAGGCTTCCATCCCTGGTGGATTTATTCGACACTTTGAGCCGCATGGGTTGGTGCTCAATTGTTGGCGTTTACCTGTTTTGCGATGCGGTTTGGGCCTTTGGTGAGGCCGCCATCCCTGACCGCTCCTATGCCGGGGTGTTCAGCGAAGCTCGGCATGCGAGGTGCCGAAAGGTGCAAGCCGAAACGGGGCACGTTGGGGACAGTTAGAAATATTTAAGACTATGTTTTATTTTTTCCCTGTTGGGGGACAGTTTGACATCTTCTTTCCGGACAAAAACAAAGAACATCCTTCCAGTTGCTTAGGAACATTTTCTCTGTTGGCTTTGAAAGGAATGTATGAATATTGGCCATACATAGTTCTCTTTTGCCAGGGGACTTAAGCAAATCAAAGCATCCCAGGGATCGGCAACGATGGTGGAACAGAACGAGGGGAACCGACCTCTGGCAGCTGCGTAGGTTCTCTTTGCCATAGGCGTCCTTTTTAGGTTTGGTTAGAAATAGATGGGTTCCACAGGCGGTTGGTTTTACGCCCCAGTTGGGGCCAAAAGGTCACCCATGCTCTTTGTGATCTTTGCAGACTGAATGAAGACCCCATATTACTCAACCAGTCAGGTTATTAATAGGGCGTGTCCCTCCAAAAGTGGCGTAATTAGCCATTAAAGAAAGGAACACTCCCCTTCAACAAACTGGGGTTGATTGATACGGGTCAACAATAGCTTAGCTGGGAGCAAATGGCTTTTGTGTGCCCCTGAAGCAACAAAAACACAACCAAGGAGTGTGTGGAGTTCTGCAAGAAGAATGGCGCCTTCGACCCGAAGACCATGGGCGCCTGCCCCAACGTGGGGCTTATGGCACAGAAGGCGAGGCGAAGAACTACCGGATTGGAAGGCAAAACCAAGTTGGTGTGTCCAAACATACGCACTTCCTGAATTCACGAACTTTAAACGTTCTGGGTTTGGACCACTTTGGTGGCAAACAAACTGTTCGCACTTTGCTGGCCAGTCCACTCAGGAAGTGAGCATAGTTTCTGGCTGCGTGGTTTCTTTGTGCTTCTTTGGGTTTCCGGGCCAGTCCCGTTTTTGTATGAGAGAACCAAGTGTACATGGGGCGCCAACCAAATCCGCGGCCAAAGCCGGCTGCGGATTTGAGTTCTTTCCGGCGAAGGGCACCAGCCGTCCACTGGGGGGAAGCTTCTCAATGACCCCGGATCCAAGTAGAACCCATCCAATAGGGCTGGGTTTTTCTCCGGGGTGTATTCATCCGGGGTCAACATGGGTTCTGATCCAGGGCTTCAACTCCGAATCCAAACCCCCAACCCCCTACAAGAATCTGCACCCAGCCAAAAACCGCCAATCAGAGGGAAGCTGAAGTAGGGGCCCAGCCTTGGCCCTTGGGTTTATGGACTGATGGGTTCATATGAGCCTTGGGCCTGGGGTTTTGCTCACCGATCGGGCGCTAGGCGGAGGAGTACGGGTCTCATCCCACCACATTCGAGGCGAAGGAGCGGGTCTGGTGGATGGGAAGCGGAAGAGGTGACTCGGATTTGGTGGGCCACGGGATGTTTTGGCGCATGCCCATGCCCTGTTTTTCAGGGCCAAGGGATGATAGAACAATATATGGGTGGGGTTCTCCTCTTTTTTGGTGGTTTGAAAGGGAAACCAAAGGGAAAACGGACATGAGCCATTCTGGGGGGGAGTCCAATCTAAAACAGACAGACAATCGAAGATTTGTTGGCTTACCTTCGGGAAAGCAACAGGATAGAAGGAAACCAACAAGGAAACCCAATAGTTTTGGATTCGGGGCGAGACGGATGGTTTCTGCACACCGAACAGAAGCCTAGGGGAAACCAACAAGCACAAGAGGTTCGGTCAACATATCCAGTATACGGCCCAGTTGGAAGGGACATAGGGGGACTCACGAAACTTCCCACAAGACCAGGAAAGCCCACAACATTTTCCATATCCTTTACGAACACCGCATGTTTTGACCATGGGCTTTTTTGACAGCCATTTCAATCAAGCCCAATGTGAGCCCATCTGATGGGGCGCGTCTCCTTCAAAGTCAAAACGAGCTGGGCCTGTGCGGTTTGAATGAAAACCATCATGAGCGCAGAGTTCCAACTGGTTTGACAGATTCCGTCCCAGCTTGCTCTTTTTAGCCCCTCCCAACCTGGAAGCGAGGCTCCCTGTCGGAGGGAAGTCTACCAACAGATTTGTTTCAAAATAAACCCTTAAAGTGG